GCTAGAGCTAGTCCTAGAATTTTGGGACACCTGTGCTCAAATTCCTGCATCACTCTTGGTCATCAGAACAGGTTGCTTACCAGGTTACCATCCTGTCAACTGCGTTAGTGATGTAATTTATTCATCCTACCTTGCATTTTTCTCTAAGAACAAACATGTAAGAGTTCACGGTGGCTCTGTCTTCCTGAACCTATGTCCTTGTCAGCCTGGGTGAAGTGGCAGGAGCTCCTGGTGCTGGCAGCAGATTTCCAGCAAGCTTATCTACTTCTACCGCAAGAACTGTGACACAGGGTCCTGCTTGGATGTCACTCCTGGCAGTCCCGGAGGGGACAGCTAGGAACATGGAGAGGAGGGTCAGTACTAGGGTTGATTTGAGTTTTACCAGGGAACTGGCTCGAGGTCTAGCTATTTTTCCAGGAAGCACATGGCTTGCTTCGCTAGTGAGCCTCACCAAGTCTCCAGGTTGAGGGTTAGTCTGATTAAAAAAAGAGGATATCTGCCTTTCCAGGAACGAGCAGGTATGGATTATACATGTGTTGTATAAAATTAGTAATTCTTAAGTGCAATAAAAAGATGAGGACAAATGTGCTTGCGCCATGTTTACACCTGGAGTGTGGGACTTTTAGTAGACATTAAGATGAACATACTGTAAATTCACCTGCATTGAAACCCCCAACACGATTAAGACGACGCATTCACGAAGAAGCTTGAAATCAGACAACCCATAATACTTGATGTAGAAAATATTCCAGCTTCCATAATTCTTTATTAAATATTTGACATGTTGCATCACTTCTTTACAACGACCTCATTTTGTCACATTATTCTTTTGCTGTCAGGAAAACAAGCTACAATTTCTCTTTAGATCTTCCAAGAAGAAAGAAAAGCAAAAAAGGACTTGTTCTTAAACAAAACATTTCCTGTGTGTATCAAATTCAACTGTATTTTAAAGCTATTTTGATTGTGAAAATGAGCATTATCCCTAAGTTGTCTTAAAAAAACTTGAAGGTAGTTTGGTTTTGACCACTGTATCAAATAGGACTTGGCTTTGTATTAGGAGGTGAGTCTACAATAAAAAGTTACAGAACGAGGAGAATTCATTTGGAGTGCTTGAAAACTCTTTTCACCTTAAACGCCACTATTTTTTTCATGTTTCATTTGAGAATAAATTCTGAATTAAGGAATGACAGCAAATTAACACCTTGCTCCTAGGATTCTCTCAGGCTCCAAGGGTCAGAATTCTCAGAACACAGCTTGGAGAAAACTGAGGACTAAGCTCTTACTTGCTTTTGAGGCCAGATTACTCATAAAGGTGTAAAAATGCTATACACATATATACATGTGTATTTGGACAGCATATCTATGTATATATGTATTTCTGTTACATACAGAGTAGTAAAGGAAGAACGTCACACAGAATTAACATGAATGAAACTATGGCGATCTAGGTGAAATCAGTCTGAGAACGAGGGCCTGCCTGGCTTGCACAGGAACACGAACACCTGCTGACACAGGTTATGGTCACAAGGAAGGCTTTGGATGCACTGATACAAGGTCAAGAATGAAGTACACTAGGTCAGGCACCAATAGTGATGTCCTTAGATTCCTACCATTACTCCTTACAAACATAAAACCAACAGAGACATGCATTTTTAACATGCATTGCTTTGAGCGCAACATCTTAAACAAAGGATAGACGCTGAATGAGAAGTTTTCTTGGAAAATTTTGTACCCACAGAAAGCTATCCCTTTTCTAGAAAACATTATACAGGCTCACGTCCTAATGCTACAGCATTTCCTCTGACACATGGACAACTATACTCTGGGGTGGAGTGTGTGTGTATGCAAGTGTATATACACTGTTCATTAAGGCTTATAGAAATTAAAAAAGTGGTCCAAAGTATATCACATTTTCTTCCCCGTTTTAAAAGCTAAAGTACAAAGTGGAGTTTATAAGGTTTTTGTTCTTTTTAATACAACTCAGTCCTGAAATTGGCAGTTTTGACATGAGTTAGGATGTACCCCAATGCCTGAATGAGACAGAGGTAGTGCATGATCTTCTTGGGGGCCAGGAGGCAGTGGGGCTGGCAGTGACCCTGCACTGCAGCACCCCTACTGGCCAGGCAGAAAATGACATCAGTCAGCATTTCCCTCGGGGCACTGAGGCAGGGGAGATGAGGAGGGGAGAGGACAGCCAGCCCAGTGGGGAGGGGCTGGACAGCTGACAAACCCAGGCTCTCTTCCTTTGTAGACTTCAAAATTCCAGAGGTGAGATATAAGACAATTAGGAAAATACGAGAGCCAACTGGTAACTGTAGCACAATTAGAAGTTGCTTATATGAACTTGGCTTTCAAGAGAGTAAAACTGGGACCCTGGCAAGACTGAAGGGCAGGGATACATGTTATGCTGTCTGTGCAACTATGTGAGCTGCAGAGAGTGGCTCAAATATTTTGCTAACTATTTCCCCAAATCTGCTACTAGGTCCTTCTGTAGAAGGAATAATCCTTGTCACATATATCGTATCATTCATCACCTTAATTTAGGGAATATTTGATGTCACCTACTAAAGGGCTTTGGAAACAAAAATTAAGCAAGCATCTCCAGTTCTTGTTGTGGGGAGTAAAAAGGACTGGCTACAAAGAAATAAAGAATGGTGAATGTCTCAGGCGAACAAGGAAGGTACACAGAGTCAAATAAACTGTAGATAGACAAATGTCTCCTGCTGCCCGTTCCAGATGCAGTGGGCAGGAGAAGCAGCACACTGTCTGAAGTTAATCCAAATTCACCTGCAGACCAACGAGGGCAGGTACAGAAACACCTAAGGCAGCCAAGTGATGCTCAGAGTCCTGTGAGCCCTGGCCCACACTACAGAGTGTCATAATAAAAGGCCCTCAACAATTGTCCCTTCTCAAGGAGCCAGAGAGATGGGATTGTAGTGATCTGTGTGGCCTGGGAGAAGCAGGCATCAGAGAGACACCTCAAGAGTGTGGAGCAGTGAGTATAACTGCTAGGACAGGCAGGACAGCCTTCCTCCTCCAGGCTGGCCCAGAGCAGGGAGGCCCAGGGGGACTCATCAAGCTGCTGTCAGTGCATTTTCTGCCACTTACAACTACATCACAAAGATGACCAAAAGCAGACCTTGAGATCTGGAGACAAGACCCAGGGGCATTTTAGGCAAAGAGTGAAGCTTAACAAATTATTTAGGACTATTTTGAGTTTAAAAAAAAACAATAGCCAAATCCAGGAGTATTTAGTTGTTAAAATCAGATATGATTAAGGACATAAGAACTGCAGTGTCACTAACAATTATCACCTTTCAAATATTCACAGCAGTATTAACTCTTTTTGGATTTGGCTTAGAAATGATTACAGAAGTTTCTCTTTTCATATTTTCAATACTTGGCCGAGTTTGCATTTAGTGAATAATCTGATTTTTTTTCAATATACAGCTTACAAAATGACAGAAGAATCCCAGTTCTTGGACTAGAATCCGATTTCTCATCCTATAATTACACGATCATTCTCAAAACCCATCAAAGCATGCCGCCCAGCTCAGGCTTTGGCAGGATTCTGAAATAGAACTGGCTTTAGATTATGAAGGTTACAAAAAAAGTTTTTTTCTTTTTTTTTTTGTGTTATGTTGACTATAAGGGAAAAAGTAAAAAATAATGAACATTGTTTTTTTAAATAATTACTTAACAGTTAAGATTAACAGTTAAGATTTCTGAACTTTACCAGATATTTTAAAGCTCCATGAAAAGGAGCCAATTCTCAGCTTTTAGAATCCACCTTCTTTTTGAAATTTAGGCCTCTGTACTCTTCCACACACAACAGCCATCCAGGAAGGACTTCTCAGGGCAGAAATGTGAGTAACTTCTTATACCAGAGGTCCTTCTTACATAACAGAGACTTTAAAACCACAGTTTTTTTTTTTGGTCTTATCTACAACTGGCAAAAAATCAAATTTCCAGTGTCCCCTAACCGCGTAACAGGAGCAGAACAACACAAGTTAACAGGCCAGCGGGATTACCCATCACTCACGTTGTCTAGCCATCTTCTAAAAACATGACAAAATTCTGCAACAGAGACTTACAAGTGGAAAAGAACCAAACTGCAGTCACCCTGAATCCTCTGCCACTGGCTCTGCCAGCTTAATGGCTTGACCCCAGTGGATCACATCACATCTTTCCTTCCAGTTTTGCTCTAGCACGTGATAGACACGACTCACACAGTGCACAGTACTGAAGCATGCAGCAAGAAGTCATATGTAACAAAACTCAGTTAAGTGTATATTAAGTAAATCCTTGTAGTCGAGTAGAAATCACAAAACAACCAGAGATGACAGGTTTGTAGGCTCAGCTCTACATCCGGGTTTTTATACACCAGCAGCCAGATTAACAACGGGTACATTGTACCAGAATGCCGTGTGTAGGGAGAAAAAAGAACCATCACATCGAATGCTTCTGATAAAAAACAAAGACAAAACTAGGCATGACCTCCATGTAGTACATAAAGTGCCTTCAGAATCGGTGACGTTAGAGCAAGAATGGGAGAAAGCTACCATGAGCAAATACACAGACAGGACACTGGATGGTTCTGGCTTCCATAGGCTCAAATCAAGCAGTGCAGTTTCATTCAAAATGTCGCTACCACAAACAGCAAAGAGAAGGAGAGGATGACTGTACAGCAACAGGAAAGGTTTGGGAATTTCTCTGACGAAAAATGCTAGTTCAACCCTGTCTCTGTGTGATAGCACGCATCATGACTTCTAAGGAATAATGGTGTGATTCCTTTCAAGTTAACACAAATAGATCATGCTATGTTACAATTCTCTCAGCCTGTGGCTATTATCTAAATTTGTACAAAAAAAAAGCAATGTCCAGTTTATCTTCATTCTATGGAAAAAATGCTCATTATGCTCAATGTTGTACTTGAAATTCTCTCAAAGTACTTGTCTGTAGAAGGTTTTTGGACAAAAATTAGTCTTCTGAGTCTAATAAAGTAGAGAGTGAGAGTGTGAAAGTACTTCAAAAATAAAAATGTCACTGACATTAAGCTTGGTGTGAAATCCAAATACAAAAAAAATGCTCACTTTTCCAAGTACATGAGACATCTTTAATTGTAATGAAATAAAATCTGAGAATCGATCTAAATCATTTAAAAAAGTAAACATGAGTTGTAATACTATACCTGTAGAGTGATTAATCCCATTCATTGTCTCAGAAAGTATGCAAAATATTTATTAAGGGCTTTGCCTGCAGAGGCACACATAAATAGGACAAGTCCTCCGGAAATGTAGTTAGTGTACATATCAACCAGTTGAGCACTGGTGGTGGAAGAGGTGGGAGTCGAGCCAGGGCTGTGTCCCCGCGGTGGAACTTGGGCTGGGCCCGGAGGAGGTTCGGCTCCCAGAGCCAGGCCGGGCTGTGTAGCTGCTGTCTGTGCTGGCTCTGCAAAAGTCTGTTAGGCAAATGCAAAAGTGCACGAGGAACTTGCTGGGCGGACCGTGCCATGGAGGCTGAAGGCCTTAATCCACCCCTTCAAATCCTTGAGCGTTCTCCACGGCCATGAGGAGTTTCTCTCGTAAATCTTCGAAGGTTTCGTATGGAGGTAAGTCGAGGCGATTAAAGCTATGAAGGGAACAGAAGGTGTAGGTAGGCGGTCACTACTTGTACTCTGCAGTCACAGTAACACTTCCTAGACTTGGCTAATGGCAATGGGGCATTTGGTGCCGTAGCTACAGTTTAGGAACTTGGCTTGTTGGGCAAGTGCTCTACCACTTAAGCCATGTCCCTAGTTCTTTTTGCTTTTAGGGTTTTTCAGATAGGGTCTAGTGTTTTCGCCCAGGCCGGCTTGGGACCATCATCCTCTTACCTATGCCACCTGGGTATCTGGGAGCACAGGCATGTTCTTGTTCTTTGAGATGCGGTCTGCTAACTGTTTTGTCCTGGCTGGCCTTGAACTGCTATCCTCCTAGCTCCATCTCCTGAGTAGCTGGGATTACAGGTGTGAGCCAGCAGGCCAGGTCTCATAGACACATTTTGATTTATTAAAACATAAATTCTAGCAATGAAACTGTCCAAACCAAACAGGCTATTCAATCTACAGAGGAGACAAAACAATCCATGAACCCTCCGTCTGGAGGGAGGGAGATAAGATCACAGTGAGATTCAAACCCCATGGAGCACAGGAGTGACGGACGGCTGGGCTGGACTAGGACTCTACCGAGCCCCAAGGCATCGCTTGCTCTCCATCAGGCCTGAGTCTGGCACTCTCCTCTGTATCACTGCTTTGTTTGCATCACAAGCCTACAAAGCAGGTAAGGTTACCTCCACTCTGCAGAGGAAGGTCCTGAAACGGGGAGGCAAAGCCACTCCTAGGAATACTGCGGCCCCAGAATGCCAACACTAAGTCACCCAGCTATCCAGAATCAGGCAAGCCAGTGAAATTTGGAGTGAGGAGCTGCATTTATCAAAAAGTTCCCACGTATTAGGAGGCTTCAGCTGGGGGCCACAAACCACTGTGGCAAGAGTGAGTTCTTCAGATGAATGGATGACCTCTGCAGGCAACTGAACTAACTTGTTTACAGGACCAAGTTCAAATTCTGCCTCTGCCAATTGCTGGTTATGTGACCATGGGCAAGTCACCTCACCTCTACCCTCTGCACTGTTTGCTTAACTCTGAAAAAGGGAAATTGCCGGTGGGTACAGGGAGAGTCAAATCAGAATATGCATAAAGGGGGCCAGTAGCAAGTGATCCAAAGATGGTGATGGTGGTCAGTGTTGTTATTCATTCAACATTGACTGGGGAGGGCTGCTGCCTGAACACCACCACGCCCTTGCCCAGCTCATGACCATTTAAGGGCTAGCATTCTGGAGCTAGCCTTGTTTCAGAACTGTACCTGTTTTACCCACTGAACCCTAGCCATTAGCCCCGGAAGGGAGGCAATCATTTGTTTTATAGAGGAAGAGCCTAATGCACAGGCAGGTTAGGTAGCTTGTCACACAGGGAGTGGGAGAGTCAGTCAGTCCTAAGCTGGCTCTGAAACCCAGATCTTGCCTGTTACGAGGACCCTCACCATTGCATTTAAAAGTGGCCCTCTCCAGGCATTGGTATGTAATTCCAAATCCAAGCCAAACAATTTTTCCTGCTTTCAGGGACACCCATTTCCCAGTAAGAAACAGATACAGCTGCATGCTCGGGCCTTAATTCCTCATGAACAAGTCCCACTGAGCACCATGCAGATTTTATAACATCCAGTAAAAGTTAAAAGACAGAGAACAGCACTGTGTCTCCTAGACTGGGGTTCTTGGACACGAAGGCAGCCTAAAGAAGTCCTAAAAGCATTGGTCAACTTTGTTTTCATACTGATGATGATCTAGAAGAATAATTGCACTCACTGTGACAACAAGTCCACTGCAGACTGCACAAGAAAGTGCCTTTCACAGAGTGGGGTAGCTCCTGTCTTAGGCCAGAGGCTTGCTCTGGTCCAGGGGTTGCAGCTCCCATAGGTCTGAAGACTCAGTCTCCAGGGTCTGTGACCACTTTCTCCTTTTATAAAAGGCCCAGCTAATTCAAGTTTGAGGCACACTGATGTGAGGGAGGGAAGGGGCCAACAGGAGCGTTAGATTGTAAATCTGAAACCATATCACTAAGGCCTTGGGCCTCAGTTTCCTTATCTGTAAGAATGGTTCATCAGATCACCCATTTCTTATGTGAGTCAGTCCCATCAGACACAGAGACAAGGCCCAGAAGGTGTCAGGTGCTCCATACTGTTGCTTCAAGGAACCTGGCTCTACTTTGCTACTTGGAGCCAGGTGACCCTGGGTAGGTCACTGTCCTCAGTGGACTTCAGCTTGCTCATGTAAGGTGTGGGCTGAATGAGATTACTGTCAGAGCAGGTGGGTCTGTAAGTCTTCATGAAGAGTAATTTAAAATATTCAAGCAGTGACTTTTACAGCACAGTGAACTGAAGCCTGTCAAGTGTCAGATGCTCAGTGGTCACATCAAAGCAAGCCAGACCAGTGGCTTTTGCTTTCCTACTAAAGCAGGCTTCTTGTTTGAAGCTTACTTGTGCATTTTACGTTCTCCTAGAACCAGGAAGAATCTAATACCTCCATGGGTGAATGTCACTGTAGAATTACTGCTAAGAATCGGCAGCAAATCCCCGTTCCTAGGCCACAACACAACCATGCCTGTGTGGAGGGAGGCCACTTAGGAGAGAAGCAGAAGTCCTTCCTATAAAGGTCAGGGCTGCTTGCAACATGTCACCCTCAGCAGTGGCAGATCGCACAAAAACAAAACCCTCCTGCAGCCAATTTCCAGAGGTATCTTCTGCTCGCAGGCCTTTCTGTGGAGAGAGGCACCCCTGTGGGGAGTGTTGAGTTGCTCATGTCACCTCGGTAGCCAATGCAGGCTTTGAAAGCATGGCTGTCTTGAGACAGGCAGGTTCTACTGCTCACTGTGTCCCGAGGAGTCACTCTACTGCTTCCTAAGGGGCAAAAGCTTGTTGATCACTGCTTTGAAAACCCATTGGGCCAAACCTGTCTGTGTGCTGAGTGTTGTGTGTCTTTCAAGAAAACATGCGAGGCTCTTTCCTCCCCTTACAGCCGGAAGGGCACTCCACCCCTTGCCACTGAGGGCCACAGGTCACCTACAGACACTCTCTGCTCCTCCAGTCATAAGCACATTATCACTAAATTCCAGGGAATTATGGGTTATTGACAGGAACAAAAACCTGTCAATGCTCCTACAGGGAATTTTATCCTAAGTTCTAAACAGTCAATTTAAGGAAAGTAAAAACCAACCCTGTGAGACTCTAGGAGTTTCCATGTCCACAAATGGTCTGACCCCCAGACCATCAGGGAAGGGGTGGGTTTGGAGGAGTCCCCACAGCATGGAGCCCTCAGCCTTTCATGTGCAGTGGGCCCATTCAAATCATGATTTAAGTCTTGCTAGCATTTATTGTTCTGTTTATATCCTCATCTGTACCTTTGTCACTTCATACTCTGCCATATTTCTGGGCAGGACATGCAGCATTTTATGCCTCTGGGCCAGCATCACACAGAACTGGGTACCTAAGCCACCACCAGTTGACACCTAAGGGTTTCATCACTCACCATGTGTGAGCTCTGGGCAGTTTTTCAGGGCTGCCCCATTGCTCTATTGTAAACAGCTGAGGACCATTGGAACCTGGAGAGAACAAAGACAAGTCAACAGGGCTTGTGGGAGGACAAAGCTGCTGTGAGACTTGCTGGAAAAGGGAGGCAGGAAGGACAGACACGATGTCAGGGCAGGGGTGGCCCAGGTGAGTCATGAGACAGTCACACTGCCATGCAGTACTTCCTGTGGGGAAGCACGAGGTCTGTAGGAGCTCATGGTGCAGACTCTGCCACCCGGCAGGACAGAAGTTCACCAGGTGCCACAGACAGAACCCCTGCAAGTGCAGACACTGCCACCTCCCTTCTGCACTTGAAAGGGTTACAGGACTCTTTTAAAGTCAGTTTATAACCACAAGGGTGATTCTGCAAATCTAGTTTTAAAAGATGAAAGGAGGAAAAAAGAAAAGAAAAAAGGGAAGAGTAACTTTACAAACTGTGCTCCCTCCTGTTCCAGCTAGGTCTCCTTGAGTACCCTACTTGACTGATGCAAGCACACTGGTCTGGAAAGAGGGAGGCCTGGGAGGCCAGAGGGGATGACTGGCTAGATTGTCACAGGGGGAGAAGCAAGGCAGAGGCAGGCTGCTCACCATAAAGTTCAGCAAATCCATTCATGGGTACTCGGGAGGTCCCTGTGACAAACTGGAGTAACCGGATCCGCTTCTCGGCGTCCATCAGTAGCACAGCCTGGGTATAGAGGCAGAAGGTTGTTATGTCCCCCTATGACACACAGCACAGGCAGCTGTTTGCAGGCTGGCAAACTTAATCTTACTTATACTGACTGCCATGTAAGACCTGGAAACCTAGACAGCTGGCTCTGAAACCTGGGTCCCCTTTGTTTTTTTAAATGATCACAACCCAGCCTTTTTACTCATAGCAAGTAAGTGGTCACCAGGTCTCTTTCTTCTTCTGCCAATAGGCCAAAAAAAAGTGATATACAAAGCCAACTCTCTGATGGCACTGAGCCTGGGTTTCTGTGTCTGAGGCCTGCCAGCCCCAAGCTGACTATAATCATGCAGTGTTCCAGGAGTGTCCACACTAGGGAAACTGAGGTGAGGAGATGGGGTTTCAGATTGCAGACAAGTTCCCTAAAGATAACATTTTATTTACAAAAGGAAAACAGAAGCAAAAACTAGGCTTCTAAAACAATCTGTGTGCCATATAATATCTGAATTATAGCAATTGAATTGGCTTTATTGTGAATGTTACTTGAACAGCTATTAAAAATGTAAACTCAAAGCTGAGTGAGATTTGGTTGTAGGATTGCAAGAGTCTGGTTTCTTCTTTCTCTCTACTTCTGCTGTCACTTGAATATTAATAACAGACAGAGATTTTTGATACATAAATAACCAGCCTTTTTTTTTTTTTGCAGAAGGATTAACTGTCTTTTTTTTTTTATTAGTTCGCTTACTATCTCTTCCCTTAATCTAACCCTTTCCTATTTTGCTTCCCTCCTGAGCCCAGCAGGATGCCATCATTGGCCATATGAGAGAGAAGCAAATTTCATTTACATCTTTGGTTAAGAGATACAAAGATAGGAATGATTATTGAATTAAAAAAAAGAAAGTTAAGAAAATGATTTCTTCACAGAAATGGCTTGTTGGGAAAGCCAGCCCAGCAGCAGGTTTACACCTTGAGCAAGCATCCATTCTCATTTCCTCTGCAGAGGCTCAGGTCCAGGACGCCGGAAGCCAGTTAACTCCTTTTCAGAGTCTTACTCAATGGCTTTCTCAAATAAAAGTCGCCTTAACCAGTGCTCAAGGAAGGACAGTGTACTTTCATAGGGACCTTGTTCAAGTCCTACTGCACAATGAAATTATGGAAAAGCTGCAGTTAGGGTGTCTACCTCAGTCCACCTTTTCCCTCCTTGACAACACAAGTACTGAAACCCCAATTTCTAGCTTCAGGCCTAGTAAGGTCAGACAATGGCATCGTAGACCTTGGTCTGTCCTGATTCAGGAAGGAACCTGAAGCAGGGCCTGGCCTGTAGCACTGGAGTTACCTTCCAGAACCACTGGATGACAGGGTGATTTGGGCAGTAGCCATTCTTGTAAATAGAGTGCTGTCTCCAGTCGTTCACGTCCACATCCCCGAGGCCACACATCAGCAACTATTAAGGAGAAATTTCAGATGAAGACAAGGTTGAGGTTAAAGCTGAGGAAATCCTACACTGAGACAATCTCCCTTCCTCCATTCTGGCATTTTGTCACTGTACAAAGCAGGTAAGCTTGCAATTCATGGAAATCTGTGAATGCGGATAGATGTTTGAAACTTTCCTGGCATGGTGGCTCACAGAGATGGTACAGCTAATGAGGGTGGCTCAAGCCAACCCTTGTACAAGAACATGGCATTTTATACTAGAAACACTGGCCATTTTCCCCATCCCCCAAGCCTAAGCACTGTACTCATGGATCTCCTTGTACTCTGTAGATATGCACACCATCCTGGCTGTTTCCCCTAAGAAATACTTGTCTGAATATTTGAAACTCTCCCTGCCCACAAGAGAAGCAATGCTTATGACAGCAAGAACTCATCTCCCCCAGATCAACCAATTCAGGTGACAACCAATTACCTCATCTGCCCAGGCATGTGAACAGAACACAGACACTCAGGCTATAAGTGTTTCCTTGACTTAGTACTAGTCTAGGGTTTGCCTTTCTTATACTATAATTCTCCACTAAGATAGTTTTCTGAAGATCAATGAATATGACAATCCTGCAGAGGGACTAGAATAAAATAGAAAGAACTACATCCAAAGCTGAGGACAAGAGTCCTACCCTTGACTGGGGACCACCCTACAGGGTCAACCCATGAGGCTGTCCACTTCTCCCTGCCTTAGTAACCCCATGTGCAAATCACAGGACTAGCAGTAACTTTCATGACATCCTCTATCCTAAAGCTTCCACTTTCAGGTAAAAGTAGAGAAGGCCAGTCTCTGAGACATACTTTGTCGAATGTGAAATGGACAAACGGTAAGGACCAGCACCACCAGCTTATGGACAGACACAGGCTCCTTCCTTCTCTTGTGTGTCTTGACACAACAAAGGGCGAGCCACAACCTTGGTTTTCAAGTTATTCTCTCTGATCTATAGCAACACAAAGAAGCTTAGATGGACAACTCTTTAAATTGCCTTCTGTGCTACTAAATTATTTGGTAGCCTTCTGATGTTTTTCTCACCCAACATAAATCACTTCAAGTTCAAGGATACATTTTCTCTATAACCCCTAGTACAGGCCAAGTCCCCCATGGTAGAGATGGGGAGGCTGTAAAAGATACTAGGCCACCTGGTCTTGCAAGCGGAGTGCTACAACCCTGGAGGGCTGCTGCACATCTGGGCTCCACCCTACACAGTAATCACCTGCTGTGATCACAGAACCACGAGCCCATCTCAGCTCAGGGGGTCTGTCCTACAGCTGCCCTCTGATGGGCAAGTAGCACTGATTACTTTTGCTGTTCCTTACTCCCAAACCAGAAAACAAGCCCCACAAGAGAAAGGGAATAGAGCTCATCTTAAATGTATCCAATTGGACATCATGGATCAGAGTACATTAAGATATGATTTACAAAGTAATAAGAGATAATTTAAAAATCTACATAAAATAGTATTTAAAATACAAACCTCCAGCTCGTTTTCATCAAAAATTTTAATCAAATCGATAGGAAGCAGTTCTGTGAATCCCTGAAAGGGAAAAAAATTCACTTTAAACATTCTTTTCCTTAAAAAAGACAAATGTTACAGGAAAAGTTTTTCTGTTAGCTAGATAAAATACATCCTTTACTGATGATTCATGCAGCAGAGAGGTATCAAGTAACTGCAGTTCCAATAAAAACAGAATAGTCATACTAGAACAGTTTTGAAAAACTGTCAAATCTAGAAGGTTCAGGGACTTGAGTAATTTTTGAAACCCTATAATATGGGATATTGTAGGCAGGTGGATTCTGAAAGTCATTTATGACACACTATTATGAGTCAGTGTGTCCTAAAATGCACAGGCTACAGATGTGCAAGAGACACATTTAAAAATAATGTACTGACAGCATGGAGATGAAGCAAAAGGAGGCGGTGTGACCTGGTGTAGAAAGGACAGGAGGACAGCAGGCCAGGCTCTGGTCTCAGGCTTGCACTATCTAGTGGGTGACCTAGAACGAGGCTCTCAATGTGTGGGGTTGAAAGCAAGGTCTAGCAGGGGCAGGGGCAGGGCCAGGACTTCTGGAGTTCCTCATCTAAACAAAGTGTGAAATGTGCCCTCCCATGTTACACTCCTTGGGCCCTGACTTTGTTTTTCAGTGTTCTTCTCAGGCCAGGGCGGCACCAAACAAGAAATTCACACTGGTTCACCAGAAATGAGTAACGTGGAGTTGGGGTCTTTCCCAGCTACCTTTTTAGTAACTAACACTCATGGTCAGATTTTAAAAGGAATTTTACTTTTGGTCAATGTACAGCACTTTTTTTTTTTTGAAAGTACAGGGATTATTTTATTTTGCATCCTAGTGGGTATTCTCAGGTTCTTATGGTATATATATATATATATATATATATATATATATTTTCTTTTTCTTCTTTTTGTGCAGCACTTTTTAAAGTGGTGATTCCCTCCCCACTTTTGAGGGGCATTGGAAGGGGCCTGGAGCATCCCCAGCAGTGACCATGTGCACCCGGGGGATACATGCTTCATTCTTCCACAGCAGGAAAGCCTGTCCAGGAGGCTGGGTATAACATAAAAACCCAGCTTATAAAAACGTGCCTTCCATGTAGCAGTACAGGAAAAAAAACGTGGGGAATTTTGAGATACACCCATGGATAGAAAGGGCAGGCTCCAGAAGTGGGAAGTATCCCCAGTGGGATGGCCTTGTGGTAAACTGCCCTGCAGGTTTTAGCTGAGTCTTTAGATTCCTAGGCCCTGGCTCCACAGCATCGGGTGGCCTTCTCTGGATACACCGAGAACTTTAAGGTGATAGCTGTAGATCAAGTGTATAAAAGTCCTCTTTCAGGACAGTTAAGACAAATTAAAAAGAGCAGCAAAGCAAGAGAACACTTAAAAAAAAAAAAAAGATGGCAGTGCACCCAAACACTCATCCTGGAGTGGTTTACAGCATGAGCTGAGCTCTGCTGGCCTTCAGTGCTGTGTCCCCATCGTGCCCGTCACGGCGCTCACCTCCAGGAAGGCGTTCATTTGCTTCTGGACCCTGTTCACAAATCTCCACTGGATGACTAAGCTGTGGGGAAATAAAAAGGGACATAATTAGCCACCCCCACAACGGCAAGACCAACAGGGGGCCTGCTGCTGTGCACCCACTATTGATCATGAACCACAGAAACGTCGACGAAACCTCACTGAGGCTTTCAAGAGCAGAACACGGCTCCCCTGCCTCCACTAAAGCTGCTCTACAAATACAACTCCATGAGGACGGGAGGAAGGTCATGGGTTAGGGACGCACACGTGCTGTGCATGTAGGGACATGGGCCCATGCAGCCACACGTATGTGAAGATATACACAATGTTTGTAAAGAGTACCCATTACTCTGTGCATTATGCACACTGATAATTTTAATACCAAAATTTGGGGCAGGAATAGTAAGATTCTGAGAGTCTTCCTGGACCCATTTTCCCTGTGACAATGTTTGGTACAGAGCAGAACTCACTGCAAGATGAGTGGACTCTGGATCTCATCAGTGGCCTTTCGTTTTGTCCACATGAAGGGCAGCCCCCTCCATAGTGGCACTGTGACAATAACTCCTGGAGGAGCAGCCCACAGCATAACCAGTGCTCAGTGCCACCAGCTCTACAGTGCTGCAGTCATCAGCCCAACACTATTCTTCAGCACCTGGACAGTGCCAGGGGCAGCCAGCAACTGGAGATTCTAGTCACACTTTTCTCTGTGAAGTTCGCTGAAACCCTGCCTGGCCCTGGTTCCCATCACATTTGAACCTTAAAATAATTAACTGCAAAGAGTGATGCAGAGTACATGTCCAATTCCAAAGGCAACAGCATCTGCCAGGTGTCACGTGCGAAAATCACCCAAGGTCAGAACAAGCATGCCAATTAATGTGGACAGGTAAGCACCACAGTAGTTCACTTCTAGCTTATTTGTAATGGAAAGGCCACCAAGTCCTAGTTCCACTCTTTGCCAGGGTCTCCAGGTAGAGACTGCACTGCAATCCAGTTCTCCTAACGAGGAAGGACAGATCACACTAAAAGATGCTGAGACTCCCAGGCAATTCTCTGAATTCAAGCCCTGTGGCCCATTTCAGGTGAGAAGAAAGGAGGGACCCACCTTGTTGACAGGGAGAGCTCAGTGCAAACAAGCTTGGACAACTGTTGAACCCACAGCTGGGCACAAACCAGGACCCAGAACCAAACCCTGTTGCACTCATCTCGTCCTTCCCCCACCCCCACCCTCCACCATGGGAAAAGACTAGAGGATACTGGAAGAGAGTCCTCAGAATAGCTGAGAACTATGTTTGAATCATACGAATCTGTCAAAAATGAAAATGTAACGTTCCTCACTAAGAAAGACTTTGCCTGTTCTAAACGTTCAGGATTACATAAGATCCAGACTTCCAGAAGGACTCAATGTTTTGTTCCAGCACATGAGGCTGAGGTTAGGTTAGTAAAGTTACAAATATCAGAAAAATTCATTATGTTTACTTACACATGTTGAATTCCTTCTATGCATTTTAACCATTTTCCTTGGCTTTCATTATGGAAAAGAAGTCAGGAGAGAGACTGTTTTATCATTGGTAGTTCCTAATTTTACCACCGTGTGCTAGACACTGGGTTCCATTGTTGTTATTTTAAATTTTAGATGGGGCACCCATGTACTCAAAGAGGATGTGCAGCATTACCCAAGAATGTCCATCTTTTCACCCTGCTCTGTTTCTCTGTAGGGCAGTACACTGGAATCATGATACAAGCCAACTTCCCACCATTCAACTTTCCAGAAGCCCATCAAAAGGAACTCACATAGCTGAAAACTAGCCAATAAACTCAAGTGCGTGGCATGCATGAGCTGTTTCAGGAAGAGACATCAAGTATGCTGTTCAATTTATTAAAAGACAAAGTTGTAAATGTGTGTATACGTACTCAATATATTCCCTTTTGTTTTCATTCGTTACCATAATTTCTGACCCATTGGGTTTCAAATCCACTTGATATGTCTGTAATTACAAAGAAAAAACAATAATCACCAACATGAAGTTATTTTGCATATTACTGAGTAATCTTATAAAAGGTAAGCAAGATTTATTCATACCTATTACCCAGCAAATGGACTCAATATATAACAGAGTATCTAATGAGGCTTTTAAACTGTTAAGATGTTACACATTTAAAGATGCTATCTTTAAAAGCAAATTATTTTTGGTTATTTATGTCTTCATACAATGGGAAAGAACAACATTTTTCATCTGCTCTTCATTTATCAAGAAATTAAATATGTTCAAAAGAGAAAACAACAGAGTATATCCATTAAGATTAGAGATAAAAGTTCTAATGCACTTTATTTGTTATTGGAAATAAAATTTTATAGTCATAAAAATGGATGCATAGAATTTTTTTCAAAGAGGCAAACCCAGGGACTTAAAAATAAACAAAGAAGGTTAGGAAGCCAGGGCGAGAAATTTATTTGCATGGGGATACCTCTCTTCTCTCTGCAGGACAGCTCCTTCTCTTACAGTGACCTTCAGTCATAAAGGAGTAAAGATGATGGATGCAAACCCATCTTCTACTGGGCTGTGTCCAGCCCTGGCTTAACAGCATTACATAGGGAGCAATAATTAGTACAAGGAAAGGGAGAGAGGGCCCTACCACTTAAAATGCTTGTTCTTATTGTATAGATTTTGAAACAAACAGAAAAGTATTCCGCCCCACCCTCCCTGCTGAGAGGGCCACATGGGCATTTTGGTGGTAACCCCTCAGTCTTGTTTGCCGAGGGAGCTGTGCTACAGAGTAAACCAAGCCTGAGAAGGGCTTTCCAGAATAAGTGTTCTTCTCTTGCAGTTTCTTCTGTGTTTTGAGGAGGGATCTCACTCTTTCACCACACGACTTAAGTCCATTTTTTTAATGGAGTCAATTCAACTCTTTACTATCCTCGATATGGATTTGAACCCTACTCCTGTATTTTCAGTCATCCTCAAATCCTTCCTTGTGGCCGTTTCCCTGTCCTGCTGCTATTCTCCAGCTCATTCTCATTCCTGCTGGTAGTCATCTCCTCCTGCCAGAACAGGCCAGGGCAATGCGGGATGACGTCAAACAGATTTCTCGTGGGCAGAGCAGGGGCATTTCCTATAGAGAACATTTCCAGTTCTTTGTTAGAGTTTTGGAGATTTGTGGACAGGGTTCATTAATACCTTTGTAGTCGTTTTTAGTAAGGCCCAAACTGGTCTCTCCTCCATTACTCCTTTTCTAGGACCCACATAGAGATCCGACACACATCACTGACAAGTTAATGAATTCAAGACCACCTCTTAGTACTGAGCAGACTTTCAGCAGAGCCACACTGATGGAATTTTTTTCTCCCCCTCTCCTCCCACAGCTCCAGGCAGGTGGAGTAAATATTCATAATTCCTGGCCAGTGCCTTCCTGGATTCACCCTTGCCTCTCTTTGCTTACAGGGCCTCCCCAGGTAGTGTTTGGGGCTGTAATTTCCAGAGAGCTACTGAGAGTGTCAACCACAGACAAACTGGGGGGAGTGGGGGATACACCTCTGATGTCTCCCAGACAGAAGGCAGTAATGGAAAGAACAAGACAGGTCAGCGCTACCAAGTGCAGGGAATGGCTCTCACTCCCACAGTAGGGCGAGAGTCTAGGTGGTTCTACATTTTTGGAAGATGACAACGTGGCTATTAAGATTTTAATGCGCATATATCCCCTTCTCACAAAAATTCCTCCTTCAGAATTTATATCAAAAGGGAAAATTAATGAAGTATACGGCATGCACATTCCAGGATTATAGTTCAGATTCTATGTCTATGAATATCCCAGGATTATATGTTTGGAAATACTGAAGTAGACTGCTGTGTATGTTAAATTGAACACTGTGTGCACAGTACAACTCCATCTTTGTAAAAACAAAAGCAAACTTGCATCTGTGTGCTTTACACAGGATAGTTGTACAGGATATAAATCAAAATTTTAATCATGATTTTTTCTTGAGGTAGTAAGAACAACAGGTGATGTATATATTTCTGTTGTACTGGCTCCCTTTTCATTATAAAGATTAATATAATTAGATGAACTGATAAAATTGGTTTTGAAAGAAAAGAAAGGGAACTGACCACCCATGCTAAACGACGAGACCACAGGCAATGAGTCTGCCGGTGACCTTTTGGCAACGTGGTTGATTCCATCCTGTTCTTGGGTTCCCCACCTCTGGTGCCAGGCAGCAATGAAGCACTCAGGGCAGGCCTAGGAAGGGCAGATTGCTTTCCCTCCAGAAGCCATGATGGAGGGTGTATCTCCAGCTCCCGACAGTAGCCTCTCTGGTCAAGCTCTCAGTGCTGCTGAGTTTCTACCCTTCTTGAGGTCTTCAGAGACAACATCTTCGTGGGAGCAATGGTTCAACTTTTTCAACAAGCTGCCAGGGATCGAATGTGCTTCCTTGTGGGCACAGCAGTAGGCCTGCCAAAAGTTGCATCACCAAAAGATCCCTAGTAGGTGGTAGGTGCCACTGCCACCTTTTTTGGTTAAGCATGAGGCTCAGCAGGAAGCAGAGAGAGCTGGAGGCAAGGCCAAATTCATGGAACTCCATAGCGCCACTGTGCATGTTTCTTGGGCAGCCCTCAATCTGTGCCTCCCATCTGTCTAACTGCAGCCTTGCTGTGTTTTCATCTCCCCCACCCTTCATACATCCTAATTTCAGAAATCCCTGCCTCAAGAGGGAAAGGATGAGATGTCTTCCTTGAGCTTCAGGTGCGACTGTGTCACAGACTGTCAGCCTGAAGCGCTTGGCACTGAGGAGAGAGAAGCCAGGATGGAAGGTAAGTGAAGAGTCTTTTCTGGTCTTGTCCTTTCCGACAGTCAGAGCTCTGCTCATGCAGAACTCTGACCCATGAGCTGAACAGCATCCCAAGGGGAGGCAGAGAGCCAGTGAGGGGAACTACCAAGGTCAAGGAGAAACTGCAGACAGGCAGGCCTGCACCCCAGGTATCCTGTTCCTGGGAGAGTAGCCTTCAATCCCTCCACTGTGGGTTGGGTTCCTGCTGTCCTTACTAAATACACTCTTTCACCTAACACTGGCTTTCTGGGCCAGCAGTGTCATTTTGTTATTGAGTTTCTGAAGAATGCAATATGAAGACCACTAATAGTGCCTTGCACACAGTAAGTGCTCAATAAGTACTGGAGAGACATTGCAGGTAGAAAAATTCCTCTTTTTGAAAGTCTGGTGGCCTGAGCATAAACTTCTTTCTTGCTCAGAGGAAACAATGAGGAGCTGTGTGACCCTCTCGAGGAAGTTAGAAACTGGATGCACACATCTCGGGCCCCTCCCTCACATGCTTCATGGCACATGCGTGCTTGCAGAGTTGGCTAGGGACAGCATGGCTTGTCCTGCACATAGTGGGCTCGGGCAGAGTGAGGCTTGTCTGCTTCTGAGACTCATTCCTGAGCGCAGAGCACTAACCATGGCCCCTGATGGGCTCAGCACCTGTGGGATGCAGCCTCAGTGCACTGCTTCAACCTTGGCCAGAACTGCCTCATCCTTCCCAAGACCCCTCAGTGGCAGCAAAGCTTTGATACGGATGTCACAGGGGGTCTTCTGCATTATCCCCATCCTTCCCCTCTAACTCTACATTTCCTCACTGCCACCTGTCTGCCCATTGACTGGTCCTGCGGTGCTGCCCCCACCTCCAGTCTCTGGGTTCAGTTCTTTCTGGTTCTGTGCTCACTGACCCCTACTGCATGTTGAGTTTCTGCCTGCCCCCCAGTGCATCTCAACCTTTTTTTTTTTTTTTTTAAATAAAAAAGCTCCCCCTAAAGAGCCCTTTTCAATTCCCCAGCCTCACAACATGCCAACTCCATGAAAATTCTAACAGATGGATCACAGGACACCGTACCACCTACTGCAGCCACACCCTGTGACCCTCACGACAAGATGGGGCAACTTTCTCTACTGACACATGGGTCCTGCAGAGCTGTCCTGCATCTGTGGCCCTCTTTTCCCACTGCACAGCTGCTGGGAGGCCCACAAGCCCGGGCTCTCCAGTGAGGAACTTTTCCTGGTTTGGCTCTCAGAGGCCGTCCTCCTGAGGGGTGGGGTGTGAGCACCACGTTTCAGTGCAGAGGCCTACGGCTCTCTTCTTGCTTGGCACCTAAAACCCGCTCAGACTGAACCTCCGCTAGTTGAAATGCTCACTGCAGGCCCCAGAAACCAGCAGCTCAGGAGAAAACCCTACAAGGGCAACGACTGCAGTTCCATACATGAATTGAGCTTCTGGCCTGTCACCTCTACCGTGCAACAGACAAGCAGTAGTTCCATACACTGCAGGAGGCCGACTGCAGGTCCTCACCACCCAGGCAATGGTGCTTACTGCACCCCACGGAGGAAAAGACTTGTTTGTCCTTCAGGGTCACAGGCCCCCTCTTGGGTCAAAATCAGTTGCAGAGTTCGGTCAACAATCCTGAAAGAGGCCAGCAGCTCAAGCAGGTAGCCTAATGCTCACATTGTCGGTTCCACAACTATAGCTGGTGCCAATTGAATGGTAGGTGCCATGCTGCTCACCATATACTCAAAAACAAAGGCCACTGTGCACACGCCATGAGGAAGGCATGGAAGATGCTCTGAAGTACATGGTCTGTGGTTAAGGATGGGCTTCCTAGAGGAAAGGACCTCTGAACTGAAAGTGGGAGAGAGTGAGTTTCCAACAGAAGAGATAGCATGAGCAAAGGTCCTGGGCCAGGAAGGAGTTTTGGTGTGTTCCACAAGGCCACTGTGGTCTACTGAAAGTGCTGCATAACTCGTCTGGAGGAGACACAGTCAGGTAGGCCATGAATGGCCTCAAGGGAAGCCCCTGAAGAGTTTCCTACTGAAAAATGGCATGATCATTTTTACATTCTGAAATGATGGCCCTGTCAATAAGAGGCCAAAGTCGGTATCAAGAGACCAGTGAGGAAGCTACAAGAGAAGCTGGTGGCTTGGAAATGGGGGTAAGCAGAGGAACAGAGAGGTGTGAGAGGCATTTGTGAGATACAGTGAACAAGGCGCAGTGATGAATGGAACAGGAGAAGAGATTGATACACAGCCGCTTCCTTTGCACGAAATTCCTGCCCAGAATTCAGAGTAGGCACATCAGTGCCCTGTTAGCTTTCTAAAAAGGGAAGGCAATAATTTCACAAGTGGAAAGCTCCATCATCTCACTCATCTCAGGTGGTGTTGATTACTGCATCGCTCTACCTGATTCTACTCCAAAGTTAGAAGAATCCACGGCATTAAATGAGGAGGCTTGAGAATGTTTTGCTTGAATAGTTATCACAAGCTAAAATGATAAAGAAAATCTTTATTGGAAGATTGGAATCTTTACTCAAAGCTGGGCGTGGTGGTGTACACCTGTAATCCTAGGTACTCAGGAGGAGGGAGAGAGTGAGACTGCAGGAGTCTGGACCACCAGCACTGCACCACCGGCGATGTGGCACCAAGGCACATCTGGGAACACTGTTACTAGAGGCTTACAATGGGGCATGAGAAGAAGGGGGAAGGAGAGAGGACAAGGTGAAAGGTGGGCAGTGCTGGATTGTAAAGGAGAGCCATGCCAGGTTTCAAGTTTGCACTGAAGGTGACAGGAAGATGGTGTTCAGATTTCAGAGACATCACACATGGGGTGTATGCTTGGGAGTGTCCCAGAATGTACTGGAAAGAGAAGACAAATAGGAAGCCTTGAGACAGACAGAAAGGAGTCTGCTATAGCAACACAGACCAGAAGCAAACAGGGCATGTAGGAGTGCCAATCACCGGACATGGGGACCTGCTAGACACGGAGGACTGGGCATCATGGGGGGACCATTCCAAATGACACCCACTTCTCACTGATTAGACCGGAGCAGCCATGGGGAGAGAGAAAGGCTACGGCTGCAGTGTTGGGTGCCCTGGGCCTCTGAGAGAAGTGGATGGGGGTGTGGGAGAAGCCAGGGCAGTTGGAGACTAGGCAGAGGTGTGGGGTAGAGACTGGGTGTGGTGGTAAGGGGCCAAGAATGGGAGGAGGCCACCAGACTAGTGTGGATGGGACAAGAAAGCAGTGGGTAGAAGATGGATGGCGGAGGGACACCTGTCATCAGAGGTGGATGTCAGCAGAGGAAGCCTGCCCTTTAAGGAGTCTGATGATGAAGTGTACACTTGAAAGAAGGAAGGAAGAGCAAGAACACAGTGACTCCCTGCACATCTGGGAGTGGGCAGTGAGGATCCAAGGCAGTGAATGGAGGAGGCAGACAGCACTGGGTGGTGGGGAGGGGGAAGAACTGGAGCCCTGGAGAGGGCAGTGGCTGGAAGGCCCCTCCCAGCCACATTACAAGGCCCCTGGGTAGGAACCTCACAAACTCTGGCTCTTAGGCAGGATCAGAAGTAAGTCAGAGAATGAAAAAAAGGGGACTTGGGAGGAGGAGATTCTTAATGGGCTGTCTACGTGAAATAACAGGTGCCTGAAGTCCTTCTGCACATATCAGCCAGGAAGAACACTACAGATTCCCCAAGTTCTCACTCCCAGGTCTCACTTAGTGGTTCCTTTTGAAGCTCCAATACTTGGCAAGGGGAAACAAGTAGTTAATAGTTGATGTTATCAATAACTAGTTGATAGCTATGTTATCCTGTCTTCTCCTCCTCTCTTCTCTGTCTTTCTCGATGTTTTGAGACAGGGTCTTGTTATGTAACCGAGCTGGCTTTGAACTTGTCATCCTCCTGACTCAGCCTCCTAAGTGCTGGATTACAGGTGTGTACCACCTTTGTTTTTTTCCTCGATTAGTAACTTTTATCCCTTTACATTCAGCTGCTTCAGTGTCTTTTCTCTGAGATTCTCCAAAACTTCTCTAACCAAAGATGGCAGGGATCTGATTTTATGACTTCAATTATCAACTGAACAGCAAATGCATTTTTCCATAGTCATATATATTTTGATACAAATCTCGGAAGCAATAAAGAACAAATCTACTTAATTTTCCATATGGCAACCCTTAACATGGGTTTTATGACCTAATTAATGTCAAGGTTCTGTAGATTCAGTCTGAGAGATGGACATATCTCTGATCTTTTGTGAAAAGACAGAAAAAGACCACCTTCAGAATCTCTCCCAAGAAGCACTGTTACTAGGGACAAATGAACCAAAGGCTTCAGAGTTAGACAAACACACTCCCGGACCCTTAGGGTGATGAAGAAAATTCCAGGCTGCACCTTTACCTTTGAAACTGACTTTTATGATGAATCAGTCTCAATGGTAGTGTAGGGGCAAAGCAAGAAGGAATGACAGAAAGACCTGAGCTACGTGGAACCAATTCCGCCATGACAACAGAACAGAAAGCAGAGACAAAAGTCCAATGCCCTTGGAATTTCACGTACTCATATTCACGTATTCGAATCACCAAGTTAACCATTGCCCTAGTTTCTGAAGTACCTAAATTCTACAGCCAAGTCACCCTGCTGGAGTTGGCTGGAGAAGAGGAGTGCTACGTCCTACCCCAGAGGTTCCTAGAACTTCCCTAACTTGTCTGGGAGAGGGAAGGGTTGAAGCTGAGACTTGGCTTCCTGGCATGACACCAGGTACTACTAACAACAAGGTGATAATTACCATGTAAAGCTCGTGTGGCTGTTTGCGATTGTCCAGCAGAGTTGTGTTGCAGCCTATAGGAAAGAAAATGCTCTTTGAAAGCCAAAAACTCCAGGGCTTGGCCACACCTACCTGCCCAAAGTTTTCTTCGTCTATGCAGAACATAAGGTCCAGTTCGGTAGGATCATTTTCTAAGATCCATTTCAAAGAGTTGTAGTATTCACTGTCCTACAGAAATGACACAGAAAGCAAAATTAAGCATTTTTGTAATGCAGAACGGTAAACAGGCTCCCTACTCACCAATGTGATGATGCCTGCTCATCCCAAACCACCTCATCCCCTAAATGTAAAATACAAGTCGACAAAAACTCTCAGTAGTGACAGGGTTTGTGGTTGTATTCTGTCCTCTAATGAGGGGGGATGGGGTGGAGGCCACTCTGCAGGGTGGTTAGAGCTGCCAGCCAGCCTGTCAGGTCTGTAGAATTTAACAAGCACTGACCAGCAGACTTCGTTCTTGCAAGAGTGAGACTATAGATGAAAGTGGGAAGGATGGTGACTACTCTAACTGGACACCAGTGGGTTCACATTCCTGTGCTCCCTGCCTGCCAATTTTAGCAATAAAGGAGGCTGCTCAGGTTCCAGAATCCAGGGCAGGAGCCACAGGGCCCTCAGCTAATCTCAGCTCAGGCCCAGGGTCTCTGCTACTAGGGACATGATAGGCTCTAAAAAGCCAAAAAAAAAAAAAAAAAAAAAAAAAAGCATACTGCATTTAACCCTGTCAAAAGGTGTATAAAATTAGACTTTAGGAGCAATTTCTAGAGCTGTATGGTATATGCCTGTAATACCAGGCCTCAAGAGGCTGAGGCAGGATTACAAGCAAGACCTAATCTCAAAAACCAAAAGAGCAATGACAGCAATAAAAGCATAAAACATAAACAAAATGGGAAAGCTGGAAGAAAAAGTGAGACTGGAACAAGGCTGTGGACACCAGGCCTGCCAGAACTGCGCACACAGCTGTGTTCAAGAGCACAGATGGCTACCTCCTCTTTCCTACCAATGTTGAGCAGAAGTACTGGGTCAATGCTGGTCAGTGCTGAGGACTCGGGTCACACAGCCAACTATGCATGACACAGTCCACATGCCAGTGAGGCTGAGTGAGTCACAGCTTTCTAACCCCAGTGTCAGCATGGAAGCTGAGCTGCCAGTACTCTACATGGCCAAAAATGCTTCTGAGGACACTGGCACACAGGCAAATGCCCACACACTCAGGATGAAGATGGTGGGGTATAATACAGGTAATGAAAAGGACATTTTGTTTGTGTAGAAATTCTTTTTTGTGTAGAAAGTTCTTTCTACTCTAACATGGCCAGACCAGGTAAAATAATAGCAGTTCAATGTGAAAACTTCTGGTACTATTTGGAGGGCTTCTCCTGTTCTGAGGTGACTTATTCCTCCATGTTAACATGACAGGGTGACATTTTTCCTATTGTTTTGGCCTTGCCCCTGACATTTTTATGAGGTCAGAAAACAGGATAGTGGATGAATCTGTAATTATCTAGTATTTGAAGTTCTGGATGGAAAACAGGCTACGACAAGGTCTACAGAGGTCCCTTGGATTTAATTTGTTCACAAGCTCAGGCTGGGTAGGCAGAAGTAGCAGATTTGGGTGTATCTACCCTAAGTACCACAATTCTAGGAAGTGAACACTAATTTGCTTATTACTAAAATTAGGGCCATCGATTAGTTTTGCAAACAATTTAATCCTCCTTGTCACTCACACTGAATGACAACCTACAACAACTGCCGTGACTATAAACATGGTCTCCGACACCTGATCCATAGGATAAAGCTCTGTGTGTACTCACCACAGACTCCATGTCATTCAGCGTTATCTGCTTTCCCAACATCATCTTGTAAAAGGGTCGAATGAAGAAACCTAAAACAGGACAAAAACTGGGTTAAGTTTCAAGTCTCTGACACTCCTGAGCATCAGAGCATGAAAAAATCTGAAGGCAAGACCAGGACAGCACAATCAAAGACCTTCTAGAGTCATCCACGAACAAGTTGAGAATGGCCTGGGAAGGGCAGAGCAGGAGGAAGGAAGGTGGTTGTACTAAGAGCTAGTATAGCGGCCTGAAAATGACTACTGGGCACACCAAACAAGCTCCAGGCCAAGCAGGAGTCTGATGCAAGCAAGGCATATGGCCAAGGAAGACTGGGGATGCAACTCTGTGGATGTTCAGGGGATCCCAGGGAGGTCACGCCAGAGAAAGGGCTGAGCAGTGAGTGGGGGCTAAAGAGAGGGGCTGCTCTCTGAGGTCAGCAGTGGGCCACAATTTTACTGCATTTCAGCATCATTGCTTGGGCAGTGATGGGGAGAAAGCACAGGGAGGGAAATGGACATCCCTGTGCAGGTTGTGCAGGTCTGTGTAATCTTCCAGGAGGGCAGGCAGAGAGCTCAAGGTGGGGGACAAGGGCAAAGAGGACCTCCACTTCCCCTCATCCAAAGAAAGGTGGCATCACACGCCTCCTTGCATGGGGCTCTGTGCCCCCCACCTCTCACCACCCTCTTCTCCCCAGAGCCCCTGGCTCAGTGTGGTCCCAACTGATTGCCAACTGACATGACTAAGTGTTTGGCAAGGTAAGAAGAACAAAGACCTCAGCAGGCAGATGGGAAAGTATGCTCTACCAACACGGGCATCCTCATTTTTAAGCAACTGAGGACTTGCTGATCACACATCTTTGGCCATTGTGGCTCTTCATCTTGCAATTCCTGACATACCATGTGATCCCCTTTTGTGCGGACCCCTTCAACAATCTCTCAGGTCTCTGTTCAGGCTCACTTCCCTCTGTGCAGCCTTGACTGCAGCTCATGGGCTGCCCACCCCCCAGGTGAAGCTCTCTGTACCTCTAGCCAAATCAGCCCTTCCTCAGAGTGAAACTGACTCCGTCAGTCCCCGCTTCGGAGGTGCCATCACTGTAATTCTTCGTTTTGTTTTTCTCTTTTTCCCACTGAAGTATGAATACACTCAAGTCAGGATCACATCTTACACTTCTTTGTGTTCCCTGACAGCAACTAATAGGGCCTCCTCACTCAACAGAAGGTGAATAAAGTGATTTTGTTTTGTAAGAAGGCAGAAGTGAACTGAACAGGTGGACATTATCTAAGTGGGATCCTGAAGCTGAAACATGCTATATACACACAGACAGAGTGAAGAAGAAGTATCCACTGTATACATATGACCAGAATGAGTCAACTGTGCCTAACGTATACACCCATGAACATGGAGCGTCAGAAAGAAGAATCTACTATTTATATACACCCATGGACAGAATCAGAAAGAAGTGTCTACTGTGTACACACAACAGAGTGAGTCAGAAAGAAGCATCTACTGTATACATACATGGGACAGGGTGAGTAAGAAAGAAGCATGTAATGTGTACACATGGACAGAGTTGAGTTAGAAAGAAGCACTGCTATATACACACACGGACAGACAGAAAGAAGCCCGTACTGTGGAGACACTTGGAAACAGCCATAAAGAACCATCTACTGTATACACAGATAGGGAGAGTCAGAAGGAAGTGCCTAATGTATACACATGGACAGAGTGAGTTAGAAGTGTCTACTTATACCTACAGAGACAGTTAAAGAACCATCTGCTGTATAGACACACGGACAAAATCATAAAGAAGCATCTATCTCTCCCTTCTGTAAAGTAAAATACTGAGACCAGAGCATCAAAATCAGCAATTAAGAGCAAAAATATATGAAAGGGGAAAGTAAGAGGGCATATCAATTAATTATCGAAATAGCTCAGGCTCCATAAATGCAATTAACACAATTCCCATGGAAACAGCTCTCTCTACAGTAACTAAAATGTCAGTCTCTAATCTTACTGTCTTCTGTCCTCAACCATTTCACACCCAAGTTCTTAAAAAAAAAAAACCTTTCTCATGAGTTTTCCTCACTGATTTATTTCTGTAGTGCTCACTCACAGTCACTATTTTTGAAATGACCAAGGTCATAAGAAATCTGTACAACAAGCATTGATATAGCCAGGTAGGGGGGTTTGATTTCCAACTTCCAGGGTACCTTGAATTTCTTCTGTGATTTATATGCTCTCGATAAGAATGAAGTTGCTTTGTGTCATGAGTTTCAGCAAGCACTCTAGGGTTAAGGTCTTAGCTGGCTTGTAACATGACTTTGAAATTAGTCTCCTCACATTAAATACTTAGGGACAAATAGAACAATGGCAGCATATTGATGGATTAGATCATCTTAATTAACTTTTTAATTAGCCTTTCCATCTGTCACCAAAACTAGCTCTTGCTAAAGGAAAGTTGTTCTGGAAAACATACAAAGCACATAAATACAGGGTGTTTGTGTTTCACACTTAGGTTTTATAAAAGATGTACACATGACGCTTTGTCTTCAGTGCCCAGGCTGATACCAGGATATCATATAAAATACCAAAGTAATTTATTGAGGGCTGGGGATGTAACTCAGTGGTAGAGTACTTGCTTAGCATACACAAGGCCCTGGGTTCAATCCCCAGCACCAGCAGGGCTTTTAATTATAATCTATGATATGAAAGATAAGACACCTGATAGAGAATCACAAACAGCACTGTTCATTACTTCAAGACTTTTAATAACTTACCATCCAAGAGTTTCCCATGAAACACTGCCAAACCAGCAACTCTTCCAATAAAGGTGAAATAGGATAAATGGTCTTCATTACAGAGGCCTGAATTGGGATTGATCTGAAGTGTGTAGTTGTCCCTTTTGGGAGATGAGAGAGTAGAAAAGTCCAATCATTCTTTAAAAAAAAGAAGTCCAAGAATCTGAATTTTACTTGTCATCTGTCCCTCGGTTCTATGGTGAACTTGACCATACTCTGCACCCAGTGGGAACAGGAGTAATCAAGGGGATGGTACTTACCATTTGGCCAGCCTTTCTGTGACTGACCTGGAGGAGCTGATACAGCTGCCCTATAGAGTAAGTTAAACCTTCAGAAACTGCTGATGTGTGCCTATTTGTGATCTACAAAAAATGTCCATTTCACATGGTTCAGCCAGTGTCTTGAGAAGATGAGAAAGCTCATATAGTAGGGGCAGGGCAGGGATTCTGAATGGCAGGAGTCCTTTAGAACATCTCTGGGATGAAGGAAGTTAATTCCAGAGAGGCTTTTGGTTTGGGGACAAGATTGTTCCTACAGGCCCAACTCATGTTTTGTCTGCCCATCACACTGTTTTGAAAAGGCCTGGAGAGCACCACTGCAAACCTTGGGACCCCTGGATGTGGTAGTGCTCCTTGTTTGGTTCACAATCCTGAGGATCTGTGGCTTTCCAAGCGGGCCTCACAGACAGATCCTTCTAGGGAGCAGTTTTGGGGAATGTGGGTGAGCGGTGAGGATCTTGTTTTCTACTGTGCCTTCCACTTCAATGTTCTGATCAATTTTCTATAGTAGGTTTTATCGTGGGACTCATGGGCTCCCAGATGAGCCTTGGGATGCAGGTGAGCCCATATCCCTTAGAGCCCAGTCTGGAACGATGCTAAACACTCTTGTCAAGGTCAAGTGCTATTCTACTGAGAGTTCAGGACCAGCCTCAAACCTTCAAGCATCCTCAGTCTAGAGAGAAATGAGTGGCCTCGAAAGTAGCCAATGTTTGACTGCTTAGAAAGCAATTCAACCTGACTCAGTTTCCATGCCTGGCAGTGGTAAAATCTCAATGCAAGGAACAGCCATTTCTTCTCTTACAGGGCCAGGGTATAGTCCTTTGGGCCCTAAGCATGTGTTCTCAAAGTTCTCATGACTCCCCTTCAAGGAGTGTGACTTCAAAGATGATCCTTTCCACATAATGACTCTTTCTGAATTCTGACACTGACAAATTTCCCTCTTGAATTAATGTAACTTTGCAAATGAAAATTGCTCCTGTTCCCTACCATAATTACCCAACACATTTTCAATTTCATGAACCCAGCAGACAAGAGAAGAATCAATTTGAGGTGTTCACCGAGTACATTATTTCACCATGTAGGGTTAGGACCTGGTCTAGACTTGCAAGAGGCAGTGAGGTGGAGGTGACAGAGTTGATTCATCTCAAATGGGCGAGTACTCTCATTAAGTTTAAATTCATCGAGAATAAAACGATTCCTGTGGGGAACGCATTCTGAAGGAACCGCATACTTACGTTGCAGAGTACTCAAAGAGACCATAGTAGGGGTTGAACATCTCTTTGGACAGCAAGAAGAACCATTCTCTGGCTACACCGCCATAATCTAGACCTTTCTCTGATTCAAATTCAATCCACAGTCTTGCTTTGAGGACATCTGGTCTTTTCACAGACATGATTCTTCGGTAGGACTCTTCAAATATGTTATTTCTGTGAAGTTTCATTTCAAACCTATTTGGAATATCAGCCTACAAAAAAGAAAAAAAAAAGCCTTATGATCATAGAGTAAAACTACACCTTGCTTCCTCCTAGGGAAAATACAGGGTAGAAATAAAGGCAGGTTTCAAATAAACAAGCAGTAACAAGTGGTCCAGTGGTATTTTCTCCTTTATGGGTTTTTCTTGCACAGACATCATTGGGTCAAGGTGGGACACACAGCGTCCACTTGCAATGGCTTAGGCTGAGTTAGCAACATATGTTGCAGAAGAAAATCTGCTGAGTACAGGAAAGCATCCTTTTACAGACATCATGAGCACTTCTCCACCCACAAGCAAGTGAAACAGCCAACTCCATATGTTGCTTCAGTCAAGAAAAGACTTCATCCCAAAACCTGTGAGCAATCCCGGCAGCAAGGTTGAGTCCATTCTCATCTCCTGGTGGGGACTGCAGATGATAGAGATTATCTACAATGCCTGCAAGTTCATTTTGGTGGTGGGGGGAGTGAGACTTCAATTCTGCCAACTTTGGGAGAGCTATCCCAAGCTCCACAGGTTGCTGACAGGAAGATAATACACCATTCGTGAGGATGGCCTCCGAGAAGCATGAGGATCAGGACTGGCCTTGCCCTGGAATGGGTGCAGGCAAAACAGCCATGCAAATGCAGAGTGAGGCTGGGCGACAGCCACAAGTCATTGTATATTACTTGGGGACATGCAGATGACTCACAAAGAAACACTGTGGAATATTACATGTTCCAATTTGAAACTGAAGAACAAAGAATCATTTCCAAAGTAGTGTTGATGAGGTACTTGAATCAGGACTTTGGGACAGAGGCTAGATCCTGAGTGAGTGCAGAGGCTGTGAGTGTTTCATCCCTACCACAAGCTCAGAATGAGAACACTGACTGGGAGGATGGGGCAGGGAGAGGGGGAGATGGACCGAGGCAAACAGGAGGAGCAGAGCTGTGGCTGACACTCTCCTTTCCCAGTGGTGCCACACGGATACTAAGTAAACTGAGGCGAAAATGATGACTGATAGATTCAGAGAGGTGGGGTTGGAAAGAATGCAGAAGACAACGTGGAAGAACTTGGGGATGGTGTGCCAGTGGTATTATACACGACTCTAATTCACAAGACTGCCTGTAAGTGCCTTACAGATTGTAAATTGCCACTAAGAATTATAATTAAAAAAATTACACTTGGACCTCATACTGCCAAGTATTATAATTACACATTGTAAACTTTACTTATGCTAAGATACAACTATTACAGTTACAACTATACTTCTGGACTTAAATGGAAGGCCCCGAACACTTTTCTAACTAGGATCTATGTTTTCTAAAATACAACAGCCATACGCAATTGTATGGGCTTCCCTAGACTGCTTGACTCAGGTCCTGAATTATTTTGTCCCAAAAAGTCATTTCTATTTTTTTATGTATGATATATGAAACTACTCATCAGGTTATTTGATATGTAATACTGAGTCAATCTTCACTTACTGTTTCTGTTAAAAAGAAAAAAGGAAGGTCACATTTTTAATGTACACATATAAGAAACAAACATGCTGTTCTCTGTGAAATAACTTTGGTAACTCGCAAATGACTAAAGCACAGCATTTTTGGAAGAGATGATTACTCACGGGTTTCTTTAATTTCTTCCTAAAGTAGTCATATTTCTGCTTAAATTCTCTGGAGTAAGGAACAGCCTGGAAGACAAATTTATAAACAGATAATGCAAACAATATGCTTGAAATTTTATGTATACTAAGCCAAAATTCAGAGAATGTCATGAATCATAAGCCTTAAATACTCATTTTCCATATTTTTCATAGAAAATTTACATCGTGTCTATGTAGGCCAAGAGAAAGTCCTAGAACTGGTTAGGTTTCATGAGCACCCTGAAAACAACTATACTGGTAGTCAAGAAATCTTTTAGTGCATGCTACACAAATTGAGTATGCTTACTATGTGACTTTGGTCAGGTCTGAGTCAGGGTGTAATACATACATATTTATAAAACTAAGATATAGACTAATACATATATAGTTATTAAACTATTATATATTTCACATGTGTAGTATATTTGCATATTTATGTTATATATACACTATTTACATATTTTAAATAAGTATATATAATATATATGTATATTTTCTAATGATAATAGTTATCGGTTATGGCACTTTAACACCCAATCACAAATGATCTATACTGGTTATTTTGAAAAGTCTAATCCTGCTTTCAAAATCTTTGTGGGAAGTCAAGCATGGTGGGTCACTCCTTTAATCCCATGTAATCCCAGAACTCAGTAGGTGGAAGCAGGAGGATCTCCAGTTTGAGAGTAGCCTAAGCTACACAGCAAGTTCAAGGTGACTAGCATGAGCTGTATATTGAGACCTTCTTTCAAAAAACCAAGGGCTTGGGGCGTAGCTCAGTGGTACAGACTTGTCAGTATGTGCAAGGTCCTGGGTTTGATTCCCAGCACCACAAAACAAAACCAAACAGAAAAATTTGTGGGAAAATACCATGAGCAGAAAGAAGTGTTTGATATTCTTGTCAAGGAATGTATAAGTGGAGATGCAGTCATGAGGTTTTCCTCTTGCTATTTAATAGTGGTCTTGCGCAATTTCAAATGCTTTAAAATGTGAAGTAGCGATTGTTCTACAGTGGTGGGCTCAGGATATGAGTCAGCTGTAACCATCGAAAAGTTCTCATGTCTCATCTGGGTACAGTGGTGCATGCCTGGAATTCCAGCACTCTGGAGGCCAAGGCTGGAGGATCATGAGTTTGAGGCCAGTCTGGGCTACTTAGTGAGACCCTATCTCCAAAAACCAAAGGAAAAAAAAATTCTGATACACATTCTGCTAAAGTAACAACACTTTTATGTAGCCATTTAAATAACCTTTATTTGCTACATCGTAAAGCAGCTCAGAGTCAGAGTCCTGACTTTAGGTGATTGAAAAGGTTTATATTCTTTTATGAAGCAAAACAGATTGGCTTCTGCATTTACACAGATGTAACTGTGATAGCTCAGAGAAACTTCTTGCTTCTTAGGCAGAGTGCCTCTGCTGGTATCATATTGGGCTAAGTTAAAAAAAGTGTACCAATCTTAGCAAAACGTCTCCAGACTCCCAACTTTAACACCTTTCACCATGAAGAATAGATGAACATCTGAAGACAAAATGAAGAACAAAAACTTCTGTTTTTTATCCTCCCTTCTAAGACATGATCACACAAATAATAGCTAATCCAAAACAAAAGCCAAGTACCTACTCTTTGCAGAAAATGATCATGCCATCTGTTCTGAACTCAAGAGCGATGAAGACATCATACTTATGTAGCTTAAGAACACTCTAAAGGCAGTTCACACTGCCTAGGGTCTGTTCCTAGTTCAGGCCCATCTTCATTTGATTTTCCACTGAACACCAGAGCTGACCACATTCCCATGTGAAAGTTTCAGGCAGTGTTTAGTCTGATGAAATTATGGATGAATTCTGGTTCTTGTCACTATCTGGATAACCATGAAGGCAAGGACAAGGATAGAATATTCTGACATGAGCTAAAAAACACATCATGTTTTTGGCTCCACAAACACTACGTCCTGTTGCAAAGGAAAATTTCCTCTCATTTGTTTATGCATTTCTCACTGTTTGGTGGCACACTTGCTCATTCATCCAACATGTATTTCTTGAACATCTACTCTATGCCTGGCATTTTTTGGGTGAAGGAGATGACAGCACACAAAGCAAAGTCCTTTCCCAGTTCCCTTTGGGAGCTCACAGCTGTTGGGTGCAACAGGCAATAAGAAACAAGTGTACTGAATGATGGCGAGGGGGAATCTAATTAAGGTATATTGTAAGCACATATGTAAATGTCACAGTGAACTCCCCTGTGCAAGTAATAAATGCCAATAAAAAGGAAATAAGTGGATTATGGAGGGCGGTCAGGGAGGGCAGTTCTGACAGAGGTAACTCTGAGCAGAAACCAGAGAGACAGGAGAGGACATACCAGAAACAATGAGCATCAAGTCCCAAAGAGGGAAAACATGGTTGATGCCTTCAGCAAGAATTAACTGTGATCAAGGGAAGCAAAAGTTATTCCCTTGCAGTCTCTCAGGCCAGTTTTAGTCCTGAATTCTAAAAAGGCTCTACTACCAGATAGCTCTGTGACATACCCTCTCCACTAAGGAGTTTCTTCCCAGTTAAGTAGAAGGATTTGACTAGCTGAACTGTAAGGCTCTTCTATTTCCAAGAGCCTTTGATTTCCACCTCCAAATGTTGAACAAAAAGTTTCACCACTCATCATTGTGTATGCAAGTTCAATGGTCTTAGGTGACAGGTTTCCTCAGTGATAGATTCTAAAATGCTGCCTGCTGCCCCAGCCCTTGCCTGCCTTGTAACCTGCCAGGTGCTGATGAGGTGTGGGTAGAAATAAGATGCTGAGATATTTCTGGTCTTTCTTCTTCTGGGGAAAGATGCATGGAAGTTGAACAATCATTCTCCTCCAATAGTGATTACCTTTTCTTTCTACAGCTAGTTCTCATGATGGAATAAGAAGAGTAAGTTTTTATAGTCTCCTCCTGAAAAGATCCCAGCAATATACAAGGACAAACACATCTATCTATACAGTACAGCTTCTGAAGAGAATTATACATCCAGTTCTTTTGTATCATACACACCAAATTATCTGTTCTCTTTTGAAAATCTGGCATACCTCATTTCCTTGCATACAATTTAAATTGCAAAATAAATCTATTTGAAAAATTAATATGGCTATAAATTAAAACTCTTTAGCATTGCATTACATTTGCTCTCTCTCTCTCTCTCTCTCTCTCTCTCTCTCTCTCTCTCTCGTGCAGAGTAAAACCTGCCTTATTGTGCAAGTTAGCTTTCAACATCTAGTGTCATAATAATGACTAGTGCCAGTCCAGGTGATACCTGCACTCTTTGGAGAGAAGGGTTTGTGCCTAGCATGTGAGGCCAGCACTCTGGGGCTCCAGGCCTGATTTCCACACTTGCAGAGCTAACACAATTAGCTGCGTGAGCTTCTCACAAATTGGGAATCATAACACCAGCCCTCCCTTCCTGAGTGGATTGCTGGGAATTTCAAATCAGTTGATTACAAAGTTCTTGGAAAAGGAAAAAAAGTGTTCCATAAGCATAAAGTGGTCTTCATTCTAGCAGTGTGTCTGTGACGTATGTCATAGAGGGAGCACACCAACTCATCATGATGCTGTGTACAGAGCCGTGACAGAAAGGCTCCTCCCCTTCCTAAAGACATAAAAATGCTGAACTAACTTAGGGCTAAACTTTTTTAAATTTGGGAAAAAGAGAAGCTATAGTTACCAGATAAGCAGAAAGACTCAAACTTGGGAAAATAATGGCCACTGGACCTAGACCTAAGTACTTGTGTTTAGGTGTTCATCTTTTCCCATGGGGACACAGAACTTGGCTGGTGGTCTGTATGGCCCAGGAAGCTGGAACAGTCTTCTGCTTAGGGGGCAAGCACACTACTCATCAGACTAGGCAAACTGCAAGGAAGCTTACCTTTCATCCAGGACCACAAATGGGGGAAAACAAAAAAGAAACAGACCTATAATAAGTCCATACTCCAAGCCTGTATCAAAGTATGGGTATGAGGTTCCTGGTTATCCTACAGGGGTGGCACAAATCCAGGTTAAGAAGTTGACAATAAATACAGGTCAGGGAAAAAAATGAAGACATAAATCACACACTGAACCAGACAATATAATTCCACTAAGGAGAGTCTACAGACTTAGCAAATAGGAGATTTGCTACCTCTATAAGTGATAGAATAACCTGACTTAGATAAGTGGTTTTAAAATGATAAAAGAATAAAGAACAGAATAACTAAAAAGAAAAATTTTAAAGACTAAATAGAATTTTTTAGCTATTAAACTACTGCTAAAATAATAGACAAGATAAACAGATATACAGATTATAAACACCTTAAAAATTAGCTAGAAGAATTAAGTCATAACTTAATAATAAGGAAGAAGAGGAATGTGAAACTTAAGAAAGACATACAAAAATGAAGCAAATATTAGTTGGAATTATTAAAATAAATAATCAGAGAATGGAAAATGTATTATGCAAAGAAACAACATAGTATTTCCCAGAATATAGGAAAGACATGATATCCATATTAAAGATCTTGAGTCCAAAGTAGGATAAACACAGAGAAATCCACATGTACATTCATGACAGTGAAATTGCAAGGTATCAAAGACTAAGAGAAATTTCCAGAGAAAAGAGCTATTCACCCACCCAGAAATAGCAATTAGATTGACAGCAAATTTATCAACAGTTATGGAGGCCAGAGAATATGGGAGAATATCTCGAAAGGACAAAAGGAAAATAACCAATACTTCTGTATCATTTAACAGGGTCCAATCAGACATTGTGAGATGAAGAGTAGATGTTGGCCTCACTGGAAGTGTTGCTGGACAGAGACTATCAGACTTGAGTCAACAGCAAAATCCTGGGGAGTGCTTGTTGGAACACAGACTGCTGTTCTCAACCACAGAGCTGGTGGTTCCATCCATTGGGGTAGGACTCAGATGTGCTCATGCGGTCAGTAGACCACACACTATGAACCATGACCTGGGTGTACTATGTACTTCATTAACAAGAAAACCTGGGGAGGGGTGGGGTGTGGACACAAGAACCAATGGTAGGCAAAGAAATTTGTCTACATATAGGTAAAATTAAATAAGCATTCACCATTGGAAGGTTTAAAGGCAACATGGTTTTAAAATTCTGCCCAACAAAGACATGGAAAAAGGCATTCAGGTTTTCTGAGGTACTGACTCTATGCACATGAGAGAAGAGAGATTAATTTTAACCTTGGTTAAAAATTTTAATGTGAACACTAGAAGAATAGAAAGTACAACTCATAAGCTCATAAAGAAAATAAAAAGTACTCTAACAGAAGGCAAGAAAGGAGAAAAAACATTGCAAATTAAGAGACAGGGAAGATGTACTGGGCAAATACAAATGAAGAGACAAAGTGAAAGTAATTAAATTAATTTCAGAAAAAATCGAGGGAGCAACAATTGCCATGAAGACTTTGACACTCCCTGGATTAGCTCCTACAGCCAAAGGGGGTCAAAACTAATAAAGGTATGGATAACACCTCAGGCATGACCTAACAGAAACGTAAAGAATTCTATAACCTACCAAACAGAAAATATACATAATTTTGAAAACATTAAAAAGAACATTTACAATGATCACGCCTTCAAGGAAGTTTCATATATCTGGTAAGTATTTCATAGGCACTATTCTCTGACCACCATGCAAGGAAATTAGAAATAAGAAATAGACAAGAGAAGGGCTAAGGGCCTTTTCTCAAGTGACAGAGTGCTTGCCTCACAAGCATGAGGTCCTGAGTTCAATCCCTAGTACTACAAAATACAAAACAAAACAAAAAAAATTAATGAAAAGAAGCGAGAAATGGGTTGGCAAAACCTCCTCTCGAATGCTTAGATAATAAAAAAGCAGGTTCAAATACATTATAAACCAAGAAGATCATATGCAAATTGCCAAACATTTAGAACTGAACACAAGAGTGACACATATACACTAAGTTGATAACTACCCAAATACACATACTCCTATTGAAAGCAGTATAATTTGTAACAAGAAAAAAAAAAAAAAGAAGATGCTTTGATTAAAAGAAAACAGAAGGATCTTTCTTGAGGGCAAGTCCACCTGAATTTATGATACCAAATAATTTTTAGTAATAGTAAGAACTAACAGTCTTTGAGTGAAGGTAGATGACTGATAAATAATAGAAACATTTGAAAACTTTAAAATTATCTTGTCAACAGTCTTCTGGCCACTTGAGAGCAGCACTGTCTCTTGAATCTTATCTTGTTTCTAGTGACTTCTAACAACCAATGGTGAGTGTGATTATCTCAAAACTATATTGTGTAGTAAAAGGCAGTGTTTTCTAAGATTAAAAAGTTCCAAGGAAAAAATAGTTGACTTTTTTAAGGTACATTGCACAGAAAGTAGTACCAAAGTAAAGGAACAAATTCAACAAAACAAATCCAACAAATGCTAAAGGGATTCCAGTTACCGATGCACATTAGCAGGGCAACTTTCAAGTTTCCAAAAGACAGATCTTTGTAATTTAAAACATAATTTGAACTCAATCAGATTAAAGTCATGAAATTAGTATTTAAATATACTTATTGGCCTCTTAGCTCAGCACTTGCTGTAAAAAACTTTCGTTCGATTTACTCATGAATTCTTTTAAAGGGACCCCAGATCTGCAATCTTCTGCTGATCCATAGTGCATTTTCTGCAATTCCAAAGTATCTCTTTGTACTTCTAAAACTGCCACTGGCAAATGCTGCTGGGGCACTTCCTGCTTAGGACCACAGCCCGTCCTATAGACACATCTGCAAGGCTAATACCAAGTGTCTGTTTTTGGGAAATGCCAGTGGGGTTCTTCCTCCTCCCATGAGCACAGTGGGCTGCACCATTTTAAGAAGCCCTAGACCTCAATCAGAGCAGACTCTTCTTCCACTGTGCATATGAGGGTTACTATGAGAAAGCCAATGGGTCAGCATAGTTAAGGATTCTTAACTCTGCTGGCTCCCCAATGGAGCGACAACCTCATTCAAATGCCTATAGAATTTTAAAGATGGAGATGTAATTTAATTAGCATGCATTTACTAATGTTGGCCTAAAGAAATGACAACACTCTATAAACTCAGGGCTTGGTTTTGCTTCACACAGATATATAGGGAAGGAGGAAATTCTGATTCTACTTTTAATCCACCCTTTTACAAAGGAGAAGAAACAATGAATGTTTCATTCTGGTACCACTATCAAATCATTTTCCTTTATAATCCAGATCCCATGGAAAGACACATGCAGCCCTACCTCACCAGGAAAGCTCAGGGAGGAGGAGAGGGGAGAAGGCTTAAATTTTTCAATTTGTCCAGGCTCTTGGCATCACAGTAATCAGTAATATGCCAGAAGCAAGTGTTTAGATGCACCCACAATCTTAAATGGAAGAGTTAGAACTTGAGAATACTGACCGGACCAGTGATGGCTGGGTTCTGCAGTCTTGGGTCTTCCCACTGAGTAATTTTGCTATCTAAAAATGTTAAAAACAGATCAGCAAGTTAGTTCCAATCTATTCTACTGGAAGGGTGTCTTAGAAAGAACTATTTCTGGGTTCTCTGAAGGTTGTCAGTCCTCTATTCTGCTCCTCAAAGATACCAACCCAGAATTTCATGGTTAGACAGTAACAATACTCTGTATGACAATCCCTCACACACTGTTTAGTTAAAAATAAAAAAAAATGCACAACTAAAGTAAAACCATCTACTTGCACTGTTTTTGGCAAGCAATCTGCTGAAATTTCAATTATAAATCCCTGTTCTTCCAAGGATTTATAACTTGATCTTGATTTTCATTTAATTTAAAAAAGGCATAAAAGTTTTAGTTCCCCAGAAGGTTAACAAACACACACACATTTTTTTTCTCATTTCAAACACTTTTAAAAATTTGCTTATGATGTTGAAAAACTGCTTTCAATTAGGAACTCTACATTGAACGAATGAACAATCCATTACATGGTGTTACTCCCACACCCCAAAATCAAAGCAGCTAGGCATCTGAAAAACGAGAATTAGACACAGCTAAGGAAGATTCCAGAGAAAGGTTTCTTTTTTGACCAGGTTAGTAGAGTTTCTTTTCTTCCAAAAGAGTCAATGTGAACAAGACTGTCCAACACCACCTACATTGCTACTTGTCTAGGTGACAACACACAACAGCTGCCCTGGGTCTCTGAGGTCTGTAGCTATGCATAAATAAAAGGACTTTGGGGGTCCTCCATGTGGGAGGAGAGTGGGGTCTGGAGTTGAACTCACATGAAAGATGTGGAGGGAGGAGAATGGGACTTCCAAGTTGGTCAAAAATTATTTGTCTGGAAAGTAACTCTGTATACTTTTACCCTGTTAGTGGGTTGATAATAAATAACAAAATTTTAACTTAATGACTCTACCAGGAATTTTTGAAAGTCTGCTGTTATTATTATTTTAATGAAAGCACAGGTAAAGTTAAAAAAAAAATTAAAGAGCTCCCATAGCACAGGGTTATTCTACAATCTTTGTTTTGTTTTCACACTGGCAGAAAATTTACACGAAACTTTGTTTTAGAGAACCTTGACGGAAGCAAAAGGTACTTTTGGGTCCCTTCCTTTGAAAACAGAAGGCTGTGGAAAGTAAAAGTTGCTGTTTGCGATGGAAACAAGAGGAAAGAACACCACATAAGGGACACAGAATATAGCTGAGTAACAATTGTGCTTTATTAAAACACTAACTTGGATAATAGCTCCGTCCACTGGATTTTGTTATCAAAACAGAAAACAAATCCACTACTCTTGACACAGGAGGATTTCCAAATCTTCCCAACAGACTTAAACTTCAGGCTCTGCCTTGAATCTCCGCTACCATCCCATAGTATCTCAGCTCAACTCTACCTAAATTCTACAGATTGCCACCCAATGCCACAAAGAGCTCATGTGACCCCATATTCCTAGTTAGCAGCATCACAAAAATCCAAACCCTGTCCAAATCAGGGACCTGGCTCTGTTCTCAGCCCTCCTTTCAGGTGTTCACCAAACCGTTGCCATTTCTCGCCTCAGGGATTTGCTTTAGTTCTGGTCTCTAGGCTTCCCTGGCTACAGTTCCACTCACTTCTGTTCAAGGCTTCTACAGCTCTGATGAAAGCTCTTTCACTAGCCTCGGGAAAAGACGCCACCTGCCCCCTCTTGCCTGAAAAATGAACCTAAGTGTCTGCATGTGGCAGATGCCCACTGACTCAACGTGGCCACTTCTGCACACCAGCCAGGTAGGATGAGGCTGCACTTCCCTCAGCATGGCATAGGATGGGCACAGCCACACATCTGCACACGTCTCCCTGCTGTGGAACTGCTCTTCACTAAGCCCAGCAGGCTCCATCCTGCTTGAAATCTACCTAGGTGGGAAGCTATTCTGCAAGACCCTCTTCAGCCTCCCTCAGCCCAGGTGCTCCAGTAACACAGAGGTTTCGCCTCTGACACAGCATCTGAGACCCCAGTGCCTCTCTCTGTACATAGCCCCTTGAGGATGGGCTGTGTGTTAGTCATCTCTCACCCTCACCACTACTGAAAAGGTCCTGACAGTAAAAGGAGCTTAATATACTGTCTTACGAATGACAGAATGACACTGACGGTGAACACAAAGTCCTCTTAAAACAGCCTGAGCTTTCAGACTCACATAAGCACCTGTGTGGTTACAAAGATCAATTTTATGATAATGAATGAGTGGTACCCAGCTAGACATTTTTTTTTTTAAAGAACTTTTCGGTCTAGGCTCGCTGTTTGAATTTGAGGTATGAAATTTCAAATAAAAGGACAAGGAGGAAGCAAAACGATAAGAAACTCAGCTAATTTAGCCACTGCTAACAAGTTTGGTAAAACTGGTGGCAGGAAAGACCAAAACAGGAGACACTGGAATTTTATTTTCTCTTCTAACTTTTGTATTTAAGACAGCTGCAGCTATCTTCTGTGAGAAGAATGACATCCTTCCTAAGATAGCTGAAGATTTTGTTCTATATCTTCTGCTAACTTTCTATGCCAATGCCAGGCTGACGCACAGGAGATGATCAGCAAGTACCAACAAAATGGGTCAAGGAGTCTAAACTGAAGACTGGTAGTGAGCACTGTCACTGCTTCTGAGATTCAGGCTTTATATTGTTAATCTTGCAAATAAATGTCTGACTTCTCAAGAAGAACTTACAAAGCAGAAAATAATTAAATAAGCTAATTAGTTAACAAGTAAGTACACTCAGGTCTGTACTTCAATCTGCTTGGAGACAGGAGGACTGAACAATTCCTATGATGATTGCTTTCAGGGTAAAATGGTGCATGTAGGAACCACCTTTCTTCTGTCTTGTAGGCACTATCACAGCAAAATGAGATTATAAGTTTCTAGAAAACTGTATGGAAATAGAGACTTCATTCTCTAAGTAAGGAAATACCTAAATGTTAAACCCATTTTCAAGAATACCTGTGAGCCCGAGAAAGCCTCTGAAAAGGTAAGGAAGGATTCAGTGCTTTTCACAGACTGGATTTGGTAGAAAGGCAAAGGAACTGCACTGTTTCATTAACACGTTCCCCTTTATCATTTTCCACTGAGTAACCCTTGGTAAATTATAGAGAACTGGCAAGGATGTAGCATTAAAAGCTAACAAGATTCTTGAAAACACATCTTTTTCTTCAGTGGCTTTTGGACACCTAATTTTTGCACTATCTGTTTAAGAGAACCTTCCCATATAGTTGTGCAAAGGCAAAATAAATTTTAATTTTCAATAAATGATCACAAATGATCACGTTGGTACAGCTCAGATCCACCAGGCTGAGCACGTGGTCTATACTACATCATTTGATTCCACAGAGCTAAAAGAGCTTCCCGTGTGCTGCTCTTGGCAAGAGGAACAGGGACTGCCTGAGACAGGTGCTAGAGCCAACTAGCAGATGGATCAGAAGTAAGGGGCAGCCTGGCATCAAGCAGGCAGCTGTCCCCTTCCCTGTCCCAGTGATCAGTGCTGGGGCCACTGCAGCTTCTCCGGGAAGGTGTTCTTCACCAAGGACAGCAATTTCCTGAGAATGTCACCATTGCCTCTCCATGAATGTGACTTTATTTACTGTTGATCAAGTGTCAACTACATGTTAAGGTTAATTTATGCATGTTCCTAGGGAAACAGTCCCTGATCTTTGTGTCTAATGAACACCACATTGGCTGCTTACGGCTGTGTTGTTCTTCCTTTGGCTCCTGGTGTTATAAAAAAAACATTCACAAAGTTCTTTCCAGGTTTTCCTAAGCATCAGATCACCAGCCAGAACACTGTCCCAATGTGTGAAATGCTAGTTGTGTGTCACAAACCAAGGCTGTGTTACCACTTAAGACCTTGTTTTAATAAAATGATTAGTACTATTCCTATTTGGTTTTGAAACTGATATTAAAATGAATAAAGAACTGAAAAGGCAACTGCTTTTCACTTTTAGTGGCAAAAAGGGGTGTGACCTCTCACCCACATTAGCAAATTCTCTTAAAATTCCAATTGTGAATAAACAGTATTTTGAGAGGGAAAGTGGGGTATGCATACACATTTTAAAGCATCTACAGCAACTATGCTTACTGTAAAATTCTGCAAAGTAAGCAACTCAGAAGTTTCTCTGATCAAAGACAAAGATTATATGTGTCTTGAAATATCTGATATAAGTCCAAGGGTAGCCAACTCCCATAAGTACAACCAGGAATTCTACTTTTGGTTTATTTGTGAATTACTGGGACTCTTCTTTAATTCAATTTGTGACAACCCTCATCCTCTCATTTCTAAAAGTAAAGTTCTGTCTGCCATGCATTTAGTTCCCTAGCAACATCCAGGTCCTTTGTGTGCAAGGACTCCTTGAGGCCAGACTTCTCAGCAAGGGGCTCACCACATGCCTTGGTTTAGTTATCAAAATGGGAAAGGACCAGCATTGACTCCCTCTTTATGAACGAAATTAAAACAAAGACCAAAATACTACCAAACTACACACAGATTTGAACTTTACATCTATTTGAAGATTTTTATAATATAATTTTTTCCCCAGAAATTTTAAGGGCTCTGGAAAAATGATCCAATGAAGAACAAGTCACCTCAAAAAAAAAAAAAAAAAACAAAAAAACGAAAAATCCACCGGGCACAGAGGCTCAAGCCTATAATCCTACACAGGAGGCAGAAATTGGGAGGTTGGAGGCCAGCTTGGGCAAAAAGCCATCTCAATCATGGCTGGGTATGATAGTGTATGCCTGTCATCCCAGATACATAGGGAAGCACAAATAGGAGGGTCGTGATCATGCTGGGAATAAAATGAGATCCTATCTCAAAAATAACCAAATGAAAAAGGCTGGTAGAGCAATTCAAGTGGTAGAGGCCCAAGGCCCTGAGTTCAATCCCCAATACCACCCTCCACCCTGAAAAAGTCCAGTGGCTATAAAAGCAAACATGTATTAGTTTATCTTTTAGTTGAAATGAGAAACCACACATTTATTCACAGGTGCTGGAGCAAATGTCTTCAGAAAATATACTACAATTTCAAAAAAACCAACTAGGTATGTATTAGTGTGTTGGGTGCAAGGGAACATGCTATAAATAGAAAATATGGTCAGAATGGGCTCCTTGCCATGAGACCATGAGAGCAGTGTTTTGAAAACTTACATGCAGCCAGAAACACTACTCAAGAATAGGTTTTTAAAAAAGAAATCATCACTTCTAATTTTATTTTCTATTTCCAGAGCGTATTTATTAAAAGTGCAAATGTCAAGGAGATTGTCAACCAAAATATTTGTTTTAAAAATTGAAAAGGAGTTAATAGGTCACAAGATCAAATTGGGTGAAAGCTTAATGGGCTACAGTGAAGCAAACTTAGGGCAAAGGCACAGTACCGTACGAGGGCACTGACTGTCTGGAATCATTCTCTCCACACAACACCTGGCTGCCTGGACAGAGAGTAAAACGACAAAGCTTTCACCATCATATCTGAGTTACCTTCCTCCCCCTGCGCCTGCACCACCTATGTGCTCACAGCAGGGTGGACTTACTGTGATCGATGTAAAATGTGCGGCCATCCAAGTGAATTCTTTCTTCCCAACCAGGCTAGTGTCCAGAGAAAGGGGAGAGAGAGAATGTGACATTGGTTAGCAGGTCCAAAATTAGACACCATTTAAAAACTCTAGGATGTTTTCTTGCTCTTCTCTCCTAGGGAACATCTTACACTGACAACAAAGTAAACACAAGCATTTTAAAGTTAACTTTTGATAACACAAAAGTTGACATCACAGACACACTTGGCCACCTCAAGCATTCATTCACAGCTTGAAGGAAGGAAAGAGGTACATTCTCAAAAGCTTGCCCTATGGCAGAGTGGACTGTGAAGAGCTCATTTAGTTACACAAATCCCGAGCATTACGGGGAGGATGGATGAGGGGTCATACACGTGTGTTGCATATAGTGTCTTGATTCATGTCAGCAACTATTTCAACAACCCAATGCTGTTCTCTGCTTTGAATGGTAACTATTCAGATTCAGGAACTAAAAGGTTTGGATAATTTTTAAGACATGGCTAGGATACCCTCATCATCTTCCCTGTCCTCATTTGCTATCAGAAAGTTAGGAATAAAACAGATGCAGACAATAGGCTTTCTTTTACTTTTTTTCCTCTGAACCCAGGCACCAAAGACATCTGGATGGTGACAGATAGTTGTATAATTTAATGAATGATGATTGAATCTTAACTTTTTTAAATCTCAAATTTTGCCCTAACATACTACACACCAAGCAACAGAAAGGTTCTTATGCTTGGAAAACAACAAGAAAAACTCCCATTTAAAAATAGTCTTGAGACCAACCCCTAATCCCTACCGCCTGGCTCCCAGCTATGTATCTACTACCTATCTATATTTTGATTGAGGGTGGACTGTTGAGGTGGATGCACGGTGAAGATTTTATTCCAAACTCAATCTGTACCAAAGAATACTACACCCCCTAGATTTAAAAACTGTCACTAATAAAGGAGAAAAAACTTAAAAAAAAAATTTCAGGTTAAATGACTAACAGTAACTTCCTGGGATTACTTATGCCTTTTTTTTCCATACTATTTTCAATATTCTTGACCCTATGATTAAATTAGCAATATGGATAGAATTCAGTGGTTGCTAAGTTACAAAACAAATTTGTGCTGCTTAAATTGTCACCTGTAGTGAATGCTACTTTCCTGTCTTGGTTCAAGGTCTACCTTCCACTGGTGATTTGCGATTCTTAAATGTCTTTTCCGAGTACAGGTTATCACATACACTGTGATGTACGATTAGAATTCCACTAACGGGACCCAGGAAGCTGGGACGAGGAGAGCCACAGGCTTCTCCATCGGCATTGGGTGTTTCCAGACCATTCTATGTATCTTCAGTGTACTCACAGGAAGAGGGCCAAGGTCATTAGGATTTAAAGATGCTTTTGACCGCATGTGTACTGGAAACTTCAGGCGTGGATCTTCCTGTAAGAAAAACATGAAAGATATTAAGAAGGACCCCCCAAATACACTTACTGACTCCTTTTTGAGCTGTGTTCCAAAGCAACTAGATTACTATGAGTGGAACATGGGAAGGGTCCCATCTCTTATCAGAAGACTGGCTACTCTCTCTCAGTAAAGGCTCTACTCTTCCTTCTTATGTGTGGTGAAAGGAGGAGAGCAAGAACATTTAGGTAAAAGGTTAACTATTTCCCCAAGACTTAGAGACAGTGAAAGGGAAAGGGTCCCAGCAGTGATCTTACTATGGAAACCAGGATGGAGGATGGAGGATGACATGACTCCACTCCAGAGAGAGAGTAAAACCCTCCAAGAGGGTCCATAAATCTTCCTCTGGATCCTGATGCATTAGGAACAGCACTTGGTCAATGATCCCCCACTCCTTCCTGAGCTAAGCAGAGAATCCAAACATCCGAATCTGTCTGGCCCAAGTCATGTGGCTATTCCAGAGACCGCCTCTTCACTGTATGAAGCCACACGCCTGACTACAGAACTTGGTTGAGATTCCTGAGCAGCTTCTGCACAACAGCTTCTAATTTATGTCTTACCAAAAATTTACAAGCAGTTTTTCTTAAGATACACAGAGAATCCACAAAAACGAGTTATAAACTCCTACATGCGGGGTCATGCTTGATGATTTACAAAGCATAGTGTGACACCTGATTTTGTGACTCCCCTTGCTGGGAGGAGGGGCAGGTGTTTTATTATTTTTTTTAGATGAGGAAACAGTGCCAGAGATAACAAGGACTTGCTCAAAGGTTATGATCCAGAGCCTAGGAACTGCCTCTCACTCAATATAGACCCAAATAGAATATGATATAACTTAGAGAATTCATGTCTAAACTTAGAAGATTAGAACATGAATGAGAAAACAGAATAACACATTGTCAACCAGAATAAAACATTGCCAGCCTAAGACTGAAAAGCCTACGGTTAAGCCATGCAATGCTTGCTTCACCTAGTTCCCTAAAAGCCTATGCTGCTGTCAGACTACTGAAAGATCTTCTGCTTCAACAGTTTTGAGTCAACAGTTAAGTCGCAGCATCAATGGATTATAACAAAGTGACAGGCTTTGGGAATTGCTAAGAATCAAAAACAGATCACCAAAAAATGAGGTCAATCTCTGCTTTCTGTTTGATACAGCAACTTTTAATTGAAGCACTAAATCATCTTAGCACTTTGTGATGAAATGTTGACCCTGAAGCTAATATATTTCTTAAAAGGTTAATATGTGGCATCCAATAAATGCAGTATTCAGTAGTAAGTCAGAACACAGAGAGTGAACACACACGCTAAGCAGATTTAGGATTTAGCAGGTCCTGGAAGCCAATAATCTGGTGATTATAATCTCAGTAACTGGTTAACTGTGAACAGAGTAAAGACTTAAAGCACTGAGTTCTACAACAGCTTCTCACTCAATGCTAACTCTGGGTTGATCAGGGGATACTACACTTGGCAGGGACCCAACGACCATGCCAGATGTGGAGCCAGAGGTGACTGTTACACAAAAGGAAGGCTTCTGGATCCACATGGAAGGTCAGCCATGCCCTGGAATCACACTTAGTCACCTGTGCAAGATAAGCAGCCTTTTTGGTAAAAAAACAAAAACAAAAACAAAACAAACAAACAAACCCCAAATCAAATACAAACAAACAAAAAAAGCCCTGGTGATTTAGAGGGAGACAGGAATTAAAAAAAAAAAAGAAGCTGAGATTAAAGAAAAGTGCCAGGTACTGGGAGAGTGGAGTGAAGTAAGAAGTACAAAATCAGCTTAGCTTCAGAGGTCTGTTAAAATGAACTTTCATGGCAATCTACGCGTCATAGGGTGTGAGGGTCAGAGGCCCTGCAAGTCCTGGTGTTTTATTATACTAACAATAATCAAAATGATGACTGCAGCTGCCTTTGAGTCTCTGAGCCTCTGAGAGCTGGCTCTTCCACTGAGCCCTTTGAACAAACCAAGCAGGTAAGCACCTCTGTAGCTGACAGACAGGTGACCTGGCAGCCAAGGTCTTGCAGTTCTTATGGACAACTTTATAGATGATGGTAAGATGGAATAGCTGGTAAGATGAATTAGAATGTAGGGGGCAGGGGGGAGAAATGACCTAAGCCTTGTATGCACATATGAATAATAAAAAAAAAAAAAAGAAAAGAAAAGGGAAATTTCCATCTTAAAAAAATTAGAATGTAAATAAATACATGAACCATACTTGGTTGTTTGTTTCTATTTTTGTCTCCTTGGTATAGATCAGTATCTATTTTAAAAGATGGGTTTCCTAATTTAAAAAAATATAGGAATACTGCCTGGTGCAAAAAAGAAAAAAAAAAAAAAGAAAGGCAACTATGCTTTTTTCTTTATTTTTTCTGTCCTGGAAAAGACCAGCAATCAAGCTGAGGCTATGATCAGCTCTATTAGTTTGAACTCGGGTAGAAAACAAGCTATAACTTTATTAAGGTGTAATCTTTGTTGTTACAAAAATAAGCTGATGCTTTGTCCCGTGAAAGGTATAAATATACCGACACACCACTTTGAGCTGCTCTCTGAGCAAGCTGAGCCTCCTGGGCTCTCTCCTGAACTGCCTGGTGGCCCCCAGCATGCATGCCCTATGGGCTGACCCAGGTGGGGACAAGCCATCCTTTCTTTTCTTTTTAATGTGGTCAGGATTTATTCTACATAGATTGCTGGTTACCACCTTCATCAGTTGTATATATGAATGACCGTGCCTTATAAATACACTTTGAGCAGAATTTTAATTTAAGAATGAACACAGGAAGAAGCTGACCTGAGTCTTTTCATGCTTCTGGTCAATACAAGAATCAACAGCCCAGGCTGAAGGAGAAAAAAGTACCATTTTCATTATTCTCAATCTGTTCTACCAGTCTGTTCCTTTTCTATGATAATGTCCACGTCTAAGAAGCTGTTCTTTCATTTATTCCTCTTTCAAAAACCAAAACAAACCCCCGACCAACTTGAAACAGATTTTAATCCAAAAATGATCTTTACTGTTCCTGCACCCTTCATCCTTTGTCAAAAATGGACATGTAACTTAGAGTGAATCCTTCCCCACTAAGAATTCTGTATACGTCTTTGTTTGAATGGGATGACACAGCTGCTTTGGCCTGTCTGAGTCTGGTTAAGAAGAGTAGCAGCCTGGGGAATTTCCAGTTGTTGCCTTAAGGATTTTCATTAGTAACAGCAGCAACAAAATGTTGTTTTAATAAATTAAAAATTTAAATGAGTAAATTAGTCAAAGAGTTTCTGGGCAAAAAGAAACAAACTGGATTTTATTCAGCAATGATGCCAGTAAGACATAAAGCTGGTGCTGTTAAAATAAAACCTGCCCAGCTGCAGTTACACTGTAGCTGTGGCGTGAAAGGCTGTGAAAAGGTTAGGGGATTTGATTACTAAGCTAGTTCACATTACTAAAATCATAGCTTATATTGGCAAGCCACAGCGGCTCCAGACTCTAATCCATCCACTTTTGTACTATTTGCCCCCCCTATTTCTGGAGCTCCAGTTTCTGGCCTAGAGTTTGGAGCTCCAGCAGTGCTACAGGACACAGGAACACCAATAGCATAACTGTGGGTTCTGGGCCAATGACAAAAAAAGATCTAAAACCAAAATCCATTACTCTGTTTTCCAAAGAGTTACCGTTTCTTATTCTCTGGCCCACAAACCTGTAACACTATCTTCAGACTAAAAGGTGAATCAAACAAACCTCCATGTCATTATATGCCTTAGAAGTAGTTATCAGTTTACCCAGTGAATGTCACCAGATCCCAATGGTAAGTGCTCTTGGCAGGTAAGTAAATTCCTTTCCTGCCCAATAGGAAGAGCTTTGACAGTGGTTCTCATTGAGGGGTGTGTGCAAATGTGTGGGGCAGTTTTGGTCATCAGTATGCTGGGGGCGGGTGACAGCAGCTATTAGTCTTCAGCGGCAGGAGCCAAGGATGTGAAATATCCCACAGCAGAAGACGAAGGCCTACCCCAGGTGCCAAGAATGTGCTTACAGGGACGTGCTGCACCACAGTCCAGACTTTAGGGAGTGGGCCACCCTCTAGAGCAATTCTCAAGGGATTAGACTAACATCACACCACAGAGCAAGGATAAATGGCAGTCCAGGTGACCTTGTGGAGGCCTTTTCATTAACATAATACTACTGATCTGTCAACTGGACATACTCAGTGCCCACCACTAGAAACAGGAATTTAAAGTGCGTGTTCACTGTTGATCCAAGACTGAGGAGCGTGGGCCAGTGACAGTCTCCAAAACACAAGTGGCTTTCACATAACATCAGTTCTGAGCAAGCTGCACAAATGATGGAAGGCCAAAGTTAATCTTGGAGGTAACTCTACCCAGACAATGAGAGGTGGATATCAGGGACAGGAAGAAAATAAGGCTTCTGCTGCATCAAAAGCAGCCAGAAATAAGAGAACACATTGTAGCTGAATTAAAGGCCTAACGATCACATATATATGAAAAAAAAAAAACCTGAGTGATTTTTAAAAGAATTATATATACTACCTTGGAAAAGCCACCACTTGATTCAGCTAAAGAAGCAGAGAAGCAACAGAGGAATACAAAGACATACATTCACCTTTGCCTAATCTTGTTTTGCCCAAGTTAAAGCAATATACAACTTCTTCATCACACATGACTTAGAACACATGAAAGAGCAGCATGACAAGAAAAATCAATTCAGACAAAATGTTCACTGAAGGAGCAATCAGAATTACACTGAAGTCATCTAACCCAGAAATAAAGGAACAAAAATATAGCACAGAAATGCAAACCACTAATCTGACATGAACACTAAGAATGAAAGTGACAAATCAAATGGAGGGTGGGGTAAAATCAAAGATGCAAAAAAGAAACTGAGAAAGCATTAGTTTTAAGAAATAATAATTTCTAATAAAATTACAATAGCTTGAGAAGTGATGCAGTGACATCAAAATCCTAGCAATATTGGAGCACCACCCTTTCCCCAGGTTGCTCGAGGAGTGCAGTGAGGAGAGGTGGGCCAACTTGTCACCAGTGCCTCACCAAACAGTGTCTGTGCCCACAGCCACCATGCCTACCAGTCCAGATGTGCAGCACAGGTGCAGGGGATGAGCTTCAGAGTTGATGAGGAAACTCCTCTACAAGAACTAAGTACTGAGCCAGGAAAGAAAGGGATTATTGCCAGACCTCATGGTGAAAACGGAGCCAAATAAAAGCAGCAGCCTTACCCACGTCGTGGTCTTTGTGTTATGGTCAATGAAGAAGGGCCGGCCATTTGGAGCTATCCTCATTTCCCAGCCGGGTGGCAGGAAGCTCTGTGTGACTTTGTGTTGTGGTTTGGGGGAGTTGTAAGGTGACGGCTGAGGGGACTGGGGATTGGAAAGGGTATCTTTCACAGCCCGACGTATGGGTGAATCCTTGGCACCCTAAGGAATAATAATCAGCATTAGAACTCTTTACCATGTGCTGTTTCCAATGTGTCAAAATGTACCTGGGAACTACAGAATGATCCTCCTTGGAGACGGACATGGGGAATGTCCTAAAAACCCTGTTTCATCATTCATTTACTTTTTAATCAACCTAACTTTACACTTTTTTTTTTGGTTGGTTAAACACACAACAATATTAAGTATTTATAATCACCATTCTTTGGAGATTTTACGGAGAGTCGAGAAAAATGTGCCCCTGCTCTTAATGAGCTCACAATCTAATGAAAAACAGGTTGTCAAGTTTAAGAGCACAGAAAAAAAGAAACCCTACCAATGGAGACAGCTACCTGGTTACCCACAATGTCTACATGGGAGGCTGAAGAGCTGTGGCCCACTCTCACTGAGCAGTAGCTTGACCCCAGGGCAATAAGAAGCCATCAGCCATCTCAAGTTCAGAACCTCAAGCGTTTCTTCTCTGGCTTTTCTAACTCTGACATTTGTGGTGTTCAGGGATGGCACTAAAACAATACAGACAGGAGAGCACAGAGCAGATGCCCAGCAATGGTTCAGAGATGCAAATATGCATCAGAAACATGTATGCCCATATAATGAAGACCCAACAGTCAGAGAAAAAAAAATGACCAAAGCAACAGCTATGTATACAAACTCAATATAAGCATTGGCATTTGAGAGCGTTATTACGCAATTCTAATGAGGTAACAGGCAAGAAGGAGCAGAACACAACAAGAACGGTAAAGTTCTGAAAAGAGAGTGCCCACATCCAGCACAAGTCACCAGGCATGGCACCAGCCAAATGAGGATGAGGACTGTTTAGAGAGTCCAGGATGTTAACTGGCGAGACAGAGAAGCATGGAGGGAGACCGCACAGATCACCCCTACCAACACCGGACTGATGAGGGAGGTGGTGGCTGCAAAACGCAAGTCCAAGGCAAGAGAGAAGAGAGAATGGTAGAAGCCATAGGACAGAGGTGACCCCAGTTAGATGAGGCGCCTTCTCACCTCCAGTGGGGCAGACAGAGTTACTGTTGGCGAACTGAGGCTACGAGGCCGGCGGATCTGAGGCTCGATTAGGTGGCTGTTACTGCTTGTAGCTGATCCAGAGGCACCATCTTCTGCAAGCTATTTTGGAGGCAAAAACAAGTTAGCGTCGTATGAGGCCTTCCTGTGTGTGATTAGGAGCGTGAACCCAAACAACACACACAACAATAATAAGAGGTCTGACCTAGTTAAAGCACGGAGGAAATAATTAAACATAATAATGGGGAGAAGGATGGAGAAACACATTTAAGGGGAATGAAAATGAATCACTGGCCTTGAGAAAAGGGGCAGTAGTGGGAGGGACTTGTACCCTACAACCGGCTCTTATTTTGAAACAACTTTCATGTTGCATTAAAGAAAAATGTGTCCAAGAACGTTTTGGTTTGAGGACCAAAATCTTCCTCAAGCAAAGATTATACTTAAAGTAATGCACGTGTCCTGTGAGGGTCTTTTTAAACACCGGTTCTTTGCAACAGTACACAAACACTGGGCAGGACAGAGGTCATGTGTAAGTCGGCTGTTGTGGCCTGCAATTTTAGGCTGGATGATGATCTTCATACCTGCATGATTGGTCGAGTCCATGTTGTGGTTCGATTGTTATGATTGACATAGTATGTACGTCCCTTAGCATCTTTTCTTTCTTCCCAGCCTGAAGGGAGGCCCGGCGTGGTATGTACATAGGCCACCGATGGCTGTTTGTGCAAGAAATCATTATTATTTAACAACTAGCATTTGCTTTCTGATCCCTTTAATAAAGTCACACACACCCAGATAATTACATTTTCGGGACAATGTAAGTTAATTCTATTTGTAAAGAAAAAAAATGTCAAAGGGTATCTGGGAGATAGAATTAAGCTTCAAATCTCTTTTGAGATAAACCCCACACAGCTGGGGTGGGAGAGCTCACATCATTACAGACTCAGCTCTCAGGTCTTGAACATAAAGGGTCATTGCTAAGGTGACTATAAAGAAAGAGAAAAATAATATAATCTGTTCTAGTTCCTAAATTTCATTGCCATTCCATGTAAAGACGATGGCTTTTCAAGTTGCCCAACACTACCGCCTATGAGAGGGGTTCTCTGGACACTCTGCTTCCGCACAGCTGCTACAGGGATGCTTCTCTAGCTTAGTCCTAAGTTCTTCCATCAACTGAGGCATACATAGTTTTCAGGGCAAAATAAGAACTCAACATAGAGCACCCCTAGTGGATGCTCGCCCTCCCGCAGCTGCATGCAATCCTGAGGCGTGCCAGCACCGACTGCATGCCCCAGCTCGGGAGGTCCCTGCACACTTGAAAAAGGAATCCCAAGGAGCCTCATACCCAAAGGCTGTGCTCACTCCAGTCCACTGATATTGAGTGTGTCCTTTTAAAGGGTAAATGAATCATGGGCATCTCTGGGTTTAGGGATGTGCCTGGTCTGCATAGTGCAAATCTGACCACAAAGGATTGCTGAGACTTTTGCTTATAAGAAGCAGTCTGAGAAATGCAGTCTTGATGAAAGAGCTCTAGACTAGCAAGCATAGGTCAGTGGTCCAGGACACTGCGGGCCAGAGCTGTCCCAGGAAGGCCGGTGGATCCTCCATCGGCACTGGAAATTGGTACTCCAGGGGTAGAGGCTCAGAAAGAAGACAACAAAGTATGCCACCAATGCTCCTGGGAGAACAAGAAAAAGATCCCAGCTACTAGGAATGGTTCCTCTGGGTGCTATCTTCCCTAACTGGGGCCTTTCCCCCACCCTCCAGGTATCTCAGCAGGCGTTGCTTTCTTGGAATTAGGCTGATGGTCTAACTCTCTTAACCCAATTTCTTTCAGCTCTTCTTTCACTTTTTCTGTTCAGTACTAATGTGCTTTGGTGAAGAGGGTCCTTGAGTTAGAGAAAGCATGAACAAACATGGTGCAGGTGTTCCAGAATGCACCTGAAGAGACTCCTCGGTTTGCTTCCTAAGCTTAACCACATGCCCCTGAGAAAAATGAACTTCACAGCAATTGGGAAGCAGCTGATTTTTGAATGGGTATTTCTAAGTCTTACTGACCAGGCAAGGTGAGATGACGTAGAAGAAACCTTCCTGCAAAAAATGCTCAGCCACTTCCTTCACATTTTACCAATGAGTCCTGAAGGTGCCATGAGACAGTTCCAAGACCGACTACAAACCACCCTGGATTCAGGTGTGGTAACTCAACAAGAGCAGAAGAATCATCAACTCTCAGACTTAATGCTTTCATGATCACTAAAGACAGATTAACCCACCGGCTTAACGGAGGGCACACTACCCACTCCCCCCACTTTCATCTGGACTTTCTGAAAACCTACAGATGGACAATGTCAGTTACCTAAGTCGTAGCCTAAATTGGTAGTGAACCAGTATTGTTGGCAAAAAGTATGTGCTACCAATTATTGACGAATTATGGTTCATATGACTTAAAAAAATACCTTGATTACATGGAGCATTAAATGAAGCTTGTTACTTTTCTCTCTCCCAGCTAGGTTGTTTTTTGGGGAAAGGCAATTTGATAGCTCTCAGAAAACTCAGTTCTGAAGAACTTAAGATTATTTTTAGCATTCCTGGAAAGGATATTTATGAAGCAATTGGTAATATAACTTGGATGTGTCATAGATAATCTCAGAACTGAATTCTAAGCTTTATGAACTTCTAATAAACCAGGTTACTTTCACAGATCCAATACTGTCAACTGGACTAACTGGTTTATGGGAAACTGAGGAGTGCAGCAGAAAGAGCATGCAATGTAACTGAAATGTGCATTCTCCCTTCTACTGGGAACTGAACCGTCCTGTAATTTAGTTGCATTTATGCAAGATGGTGATATTATCTGTTTTCTTACAGAGTCCTCTCCAAATGAGCATGAAGAACAACCCGTGCTGATGATTCCATTTGTTAGTCAAAACATTGCCTCCCAGAGCACATGGGTAGTGAGTGGCAGGACTCAGCTCTACAGGCAGATCTGTGGAAGATGCCCAGCCTTAGAGCCAAACTATACCTTTTCTGATTGCTGTATGCACAGTAACGCGTTCTGGACCACTTCAAGAAACAAGATGAGTAATCAAAAAATAAATAAATACCCCTCCTCTCCAAAAAATCCCAAAAAACAAAAAACAAGCCAAAACCTGTTGGTTAGCTTAATTTAGCATTTTCACAGATTTTCATCTGTGGACCAAGTGTACTATTGTGTTTTATGATGCTAACAGCCACGAACTACAGCTTCACAGTGGCTCCACTTATTCAATTAAAACGAAGGACTCCATTATGTTTAAACTGATACGATTTCAATACGCTTTTATAAGTAACCCCTTTGATACTGACCATCAAGATTCTCCAAGACTTGCTCAAACACTGCTACAGTGGGATTTTGCTATACTTTTAGAATCTGTACAGCAAAGATCAGAGACTGTGCTATTCTTCTTGTATCTCAAGGGAGGCTCTGGCTCAAGCTGTCAGCAAGTGACACTAGTGTCCATTTATTTGCCATAAATAAAAGGGCTGTGGTTTCTCAGGTGAGAACCAGGGCTTTGTCATTATGCAAAAGGAATAAAAGTGCTACATGGAAAGACAGATGTGCCAGGATGATTACTACTGGGAAAATTCTATCAATTGTGGTACATTCATATCAAAACACATCCCAGAAGAATGATCATAAATAAATTTGAAAAACCCACTTTGCTGAGCTTTAAATATTCTATGTATTGTTTTTTTTTTTCTAAAATAAAATGAAACAGCAAACGTGTGCATGTTTGGGGGGGCACAGAGGAAGGAGTGAGACGATCCATTGTAGGGAGCTCCAGCCTGGGCACAGGCTTTGGTGCATAGTGAGGTGGACAGGAGCAGGGGACAGGGTCAGAAGGAAAAATTATGCTAGAGACACAACAGAAAAGAGAAAGTCCAGGGCAGTTATGACTAGGGACAGCGGGGTCAGAGGGAGAACCTCCCAAACCTTTCTAGGTATTGAGAATCGCAGCATGTATCAGCAAGACTAAAACCCCAAATAAACCCTGTTTCAATTTATTGACAGGAGAGGAGAGCACAGGCAAGAAGATAAGAAAAGGGGCAGTCTCTGGAAGCATGTGGGATCTCATTCAGATGGGTCACCTTGTCCTGCCAGGTGACTCTTATCACGGAGCCTGGAACTACAGTAATTTGGTTTATTCTGCCATTTGCTGTATTAGCCATCACAACTCTCCAAAGCTGTAAGGTTGCAAGACTAATTAAATGCAAAAATGGATGATGCATAAAACAACATTTAAGGGCATAATGAAACGAAATCATCTCATGAAATGGTCTGCCTTCCAGCTCCATTACTCCCATAGAAATTACCAGTGCACAGCTTGAAGTAAGCTAGCTCATGTAGGAATTAGATTTTACTGGAGGCTGAGCCTGGCTTCCCTAATACATGTCTTTCACATAAACTACAGCAACTCAATTCTGCAAACTGTGTTGATCATTACTGACTGTCAATTTGATTTTCTTTTGTATAATACTGTGCACTAAATTCAAACAATATACCTAAATTGTTCCTGTAAATCATCAACAACCTTCAGAAACCATCTACTGTATATGTAATTAAAGTTATTCACAAGTAGTAAGTAGTTACAGCAAACACATCAAAGGTGAAACAATAAGGGAAATTCTCCAAATAGTTCTCTCAGCTCAGAGCAGGCTAGCCTGACTTTAGGGATCAAGTAGAATACAATTAAAACATGTTGTCAAATTTAAGTGATCCATGACATAAATACTATAAATTTTTCAAAATAATGAATAACAATAATTGATACTTGGCTTAAATCGACACCAATTTTTCTAGACCATTTAAATATCTTCATTAGGCTTCCTGTCCTGGAATCGTATAAACACTTGTCCATTCCTATGAGTTGAGCCCCTGGTGGCAGAAAGGTCACTGTTTCATGCTGAAAACAAAATCTGCCCCCTGGTTTATTTTAACCAAACATTCTAACAACAAGGAGAAGCTCACCAGGAGCAGAATCACTGAAAGGCAAAGCTGTATTCTAAGTGGTCAAATAAAACACACTTATCTGCAACTTGACAGTAATAATAAAATCATATGAGACTAAAAATCATTCCATTTTATCCAGTACCTTCCAACAATCCCAAAACGGTAAGTTTAAATCTCCGTAGCACAAAGAAGTAGATCTTTTTTTTTTAAAAAAGGGAAAGAGTATATCCATCACCATTACAATATCAAGCATCCCCACAGGTTTCTGCCATTAATGTCTCATAAAGTACATCATTACCGTTGGCTCCTCACCACCCGTGACCGTGGACGAACGTGCTCTCCTAGTTGGGGCACTGGGCTGTTAAACGATAATTTACATCAATGAAATACACTCATAGGATGACCCATGGATTAATGAATCAGGAATCACTGCTGTGACAGTGCCACAAGGCAGGTGCCATGAGATCAGAATCCCTGACATCCACCCCATCCAAATGAAGCTGGGCAGTCACCAAATACCAGCAGCTAAAAGAAGTGTGGCCTTCACTGTCCCCATGCCACCTAGAGACACTCAGGTTACACCTGTGATCTGGGTGAGCAATGACCACCTTGAAACAGTGAAACATCTTATAAGAGAAAAATGGAAAGCCAGTCCGCTGTGCCCCCGCTGTCCAAAAGTTAGCAGATCTTAAATCTGCCAAAGTCAGAACTCAGGTGAGAGGCTGCTGGTGATCAGTGAGTGTACAGCATCAACCAGAACAAGGAAAGGCGGGATCACCAAGCAAGTGAGCTCTTAGGAAAATCAAATTGACACTGATTTTGAAAAGGAGAGAAAGTACCATTAATTCATCAAGGAGAATCACAGAAGCATTAGGCTGAGAAGGAGTCCACCAGCTCACCGCAGTTGGTTACTCTGCTTTGCAGGCTCTATACTGAACCTGTCCCCAAAAAAGACACTCTCCTCAAAATTATTGGCCAGTCCACACAGGGTAAGTCACAACTGAATCTATTATGTTGATTAGTATACTCATGAATTTAGTTCTTAAACATAAAACTTTAAAAACCTGGAAAAAAAATGTCCTTTGAAGCCAACCAACAGGAAGACAATGGTTTCAAAAACTTTAAATGTGCTTCTATTTTCCAAACTCATAAAATAATCAAGATTTATAGCTATTAAAAAAAAAAAAAACCAGTCAAGGCCTAATACCAAACATGTAAAAACTCAGAATATTTTCACCTCCAAAAGAAAAAAAAATATGTAAAACTCCTTCTTTGTAATGTGTACACCAAACATCTTCTAAGGCAGTGCTGGTCTGCCCTCCGATTGCAATATTTATTTTTACACATATTGGATGTTATTGAGCCCTCTATCATGTCTATGTTTGCTGACAGTGATTAAGACTGTGAAAGAGACAAATTATAGCCAATTCTTTGGTCACAGAGCTGCCTTTAAAAAGCGTGCACAGTGGCTTTGTGGCACTGAGAATGTAGGCCATCAGTAGTGGAAAGGAACAGTATCAGACTGTGTATCCATAAGAGTTCTTCCTGTTTAAAGGGATCAATGAATTCTCAGCGTCCAGGTCACCATACCATAGCTACAGTGACCAAACAAAGTAAAATAAAGTAAAAGGAATTATCACCAAGTATTTTCAGTCAAGTAAGCCCATTGAAATTGGTATAAGTTTGGGTGAAAAACAAAGCAATGAAGTTTTTAGCATTTTAGAGACTAGGGTGACAATCAGTGTGGGAAAGTCACTCTCTTTGGACAATTTGCTAGGGAATTTTTAAACGTCTCATTTATGTGGTGAATAGATTTGCACAGGAAAAACTCTTTCTCAGCAGCCTAGAAGGTTTTAAATCAAAACTGAAAAGCCAGTTGATGACTGGTAATGAGTGTGGGTTACCGGTGGTAGGTGGGCCTGCTCTGAAACCGCATCGGTGACACTGCAGGACCGCAGCCTGGAGGAAGGCTCTCTCTGCTGTAGGGGGGAAAGACAGTAAGTGTCAAGAGGTGTGTTACTAGAAACGAGTTTCAGTTTGTTTTTTAAAATCTATCAATCAATCCTACATACTTCTCTTTGGTAATTAGTGAAACATCTTTTCAGAGCAATGAAAGAATTCCTTGAGGGAGTCAAGCTATACTGCTTTGTAAGTCTCAGTGTTTTCAGCAGGTTGGGATTTTGAGTGGTTCTTAGAATCAATAGCAAAAACAACAGAGGGAGACCAAAACTGTTGGAAAGGAGATGCAGTCAGCAGCCAAGAGTTAGCATCCTGTGCTCTGCTTGGGATGCCAGCTCTGAGCAAATTCTAATGTGACAAGAACAGAGGAAAGAGGAAGACGCAAGGGCAAATATGGCTACTCAACGTTATTATAGTCGACAAAGAACAAGTTGGCTCTATTGTCTAGAGGAAGGCAGAAATCACCCCATTCTACTTCTGAGAGATCAAGGGCTTATACTTTTAGCTTCTGAGTGGAGTTCAAGAAGTATAGAAAAGAACAAAACAGACCAGCGAGGCTAATCTCAAAACAACTTGTGTGTAATGTATCACATTGCTTTCACTTGGTCGTATTCTGTGTGCTTGAACAAAGCCTAATGGAGATGGTAGCAGGTTTCCCTATTAGCAAGTTCAATTTGTATCAAGGATTTATTTTCAACATTTTGCTATGACAAGTAAAATGAGATAATGTCCAGGCAAAGCTCTGTGATGGTGATGGAGTCTACCCAAGCCTTCTTACACTGGGTCGTGTGAAGGACCGAAAGTTCACACTACTGTTCTTGAATTCGGAGTGACCCAGAGAAGCAAAACCAGAGGAGGGCTCCCTAGACATTCTAGGTTAAAAAACTGGAACATAATGCCATGTTGCACTCAGGTCTTAAGATTATTTCATGCTTCTGCAATAACTAAATGCACAATCTCTCTAAACAAATAACAAGAAAAGCTAATTTAATATTTCATACTGAAGAAAACAGTTTTTTGTTCACTTGATTGACTAAAGGTGTGTAGTTGCTATGATTTCTGCAATTCTTTCTTTCATACCCTTCAACATATGGAATCATTGCTTATGCTGTTTCCATAGCAATGGTGTTACCAGTTCACATGTTCCATATGTGCTACCTCCTTTCCCATCCACGTCATATGAAATTTCCATCTCAGTGGCATTCCCATTTTGAAAACATTCACAGAATCTTAATGTGAAACCATGTTAACAAGCATTGTTGCCACTCATGTGACAGAAGCCCAGGGTGCCTTTTAAAACAAAAACACCATAACCAAAGGACTAACAATTTTGTAACTATGCACGTGGCTTTTACATTTCATGTATTCCTCCCATCATTTGCATTCAGTAGGCTCAGAATGACTATTAGTTTGAGGCTGCCAATTTCAGTGGAGTGACTATCAGCCAATTTCTTTCTTTCTTTCATTGTTTTTTGGCTGTACTTGGTTTTGTACTCAGCCTCGCACTTGCTAGGCAGGCATTCTACCAACTTTGAGCCACATTCTCAGCCCTAAATCCAATTTCTTGAGGAACACTGAATTTGTGTTTGCTCTTATCCTATTTGCCGTGGGAATAATCTGAGTTTTATTCCCTGAACGTTTGTTTTGTCAAGTGCAAAGGCTCATCATGACTGATTCCATTACTTCTTAGTGTCATGGGAAGCTTCTAGAATGGTCTTTGTCTGATGGTTGAGAACCCTAGTTCAAATGCCACCTTGATGTCAGTGCCACCCTCTCTTGAGAAGTCATACTTTAGGACTCAGGTGTTATCTTTCGCCTCATATTCCAACCTTGTCTTAGACAGGGCACTTAACATGCTACCCTTCCCTGTCTGTGAAATGAGAATGACAGAGCACTTGGAGTATGACTCATGATTGGTTAGGAGCCTGAAACCTCCCATCTTCATGATGAAGGTGCTATTTTTATGGGCTTTGTGGCTTTTAAAGAAATTCTACAAGATTAAAGCTAGTCTAGGCTAATTCCTTTGATATATCAAGCTAGTGGTACATAGCTGCTTTTTTAATCAAGAAAATCGTTATCCACCTGGACTAATCTCAGCACAGCCCTGCTTTCCCTAGGAAAGGATGAACTTTAGAAAATGTCACAGGCAACTGGGAGCTGGAAGGCCCCTGGCTATCATAACATATGAGAGTCTCCTAAAGTAACTGAAAGTGGCAGACTTGGTTTTGCTTTCCCACAAGACCACTACTTACAATCAGAGAACTGAACTGCTCCCCATTGGAGTCCGGAGTGATCTGAAGCCTTCTGCTCAGCTCCTCTGACAGCTCCTGAGGGCTGGTTCGAGACACCGGGGAGGCTGGAGGCGGGGGCAGTACTAGACCGAGGGAGTCTCCCGCCATGTTCACTTCCTCTGAAATGGTCTCCCAAGGCTTTCAAGAAATGAGACATTGGAGTAAGTGCTAGGAACTGCGGATACTCTGATCCTCCCCCCAACAATAACAATTAGCTGTAACAATAACTATAATTAATATCTACTCAACACTTTCTCATGAGGCCCAGAATCTTCATGATAATCACAGGGAAGATACAATCGCTGTCCCAATTAACAGATGAGGACATTAAAGCACAGAGAGTAATTTGTCTAAGGTAAGCAAGCTGGTGAATGTCAGGGCCATATGTGATCAAGCAGGTGGACCCCCAGGCTCCCCCCACTCCCAACCCGGGAAACAGCTATTGCCAGCACTTGTTACCATATGCACAGGAAGCATCTTGAGTTCACAAACTATTCTTGTGGGTTTTCCTCTACTCTAACTACTGAAATTTCTCCTCCTTTTTTTGTGGCAATACTGGAGTTTGAACTCAGGGCCCTTGAACTTCCAAGGCAGGTTCTCTACCCGGCCCCCCAGCCACACGCCCAACTCCTATTGCTGAGGGTTCTTATTAAACAGCACAGCAGTAAGCTATAATTCAACATTCATAGAAAGTAACTTTTAGTGCATTTATTATGGGAATCATGAATTTGCTTTTCTAATTTTGCTCCCTGTGACATTCTGTGATAGCCTTCCTCCTCACACTATGAAACTTGCAGTAAGTAGAGAACTTAAGAGAGCATGGAAGTTCAGATGACTGATGTGCTAGTTAATTTATATTCCTTTTCAGTAATATACTAAAATCATTTAAAGGGAAAATTATAAACATTCACATTGACCCAAATTTAGAGGGATTTTTTAGTTTTGGTAATATCTTGCCTTTTGTGATGCCAAAACAATTCAGTAAAAACTTGTCTATGACACCTGAACAACTTGTGATGTTAATTCAATTGCCCAAATACGACAACTGTGACATCATTTAATGAGAAATGGTTAGACCCTGGGGGAAAATAAATTACAAAGTGGAAATATCTTAAGATTTTCTTACTAGAAATAATATCATTTCTTTTTGTAATAATAAAGACCACATGTACTTAGTCAACCATCTACTTTTTTCTTTTTTTTGGTGGTGTTATAGACTGACCCCAGGGCCTTGTATGTGCTAGGCAAGTGCTCTTCCCACTAAGCTACATTCTGAGCCCGCAAACATGGCTTTCATAAGTACTTTCTAAATTAAGACATAGATGGGAATCAATTAGCTAGGATTGATTCGAGACATGGCGGAAAGAAGAAATACGACACAGAATCACCTCAGGGACTGTAGGAAGACCAGCTGCCAAGCTGGCAGCATCTTAGGAACATCTTACCTCTGGGCCCTCCCCGCCTTCCGAGGCCTCGGGCTCCAAGTCCTCGCTGATGTGCCTTCGAGAGCGGAAGCGTCGGTGTGCGGCCTCCTGGTTGATCTGCCTGATGTTGTTGTCCGACTCAGAGGACACATCCCTGAGAGGGGGCAGGAGGTGTGAGAAGAAAAGGGGTGTTCAGAAGTAGACTGCCACCAGTCCAATCCTCTCTAAGGGCCACACATCCACTAAGATGTCAGTGTCAAACACTGACAAATACGAGAGCTCTTCCACCTTATCCTGGCTAGAGTAGTGCAAGGTTCATCTCGATCAAATCAGTGTAGTTTTCAGTGCACTTTTCAGGTGCACACAGTCATCCCTTGACATCCATGGGGACTGGTTCCAGGACCTGCTCTCCTTCCCCATGGAAACCCAGGTCACAGATGCTCAAGCCTCTTACAAAAACTGGCATAGTATTTGCTTAGAGTCCATGCGTATCTTTCTCTATACTTAAACTCTTCTCTAGATTACTTACAATACCTAATACTAAGTAAATGCTATGTAAACAGCTGTCATATGGCATTGCTTATAGAATGAAGATAAGGACAGGTCTATTTAGGTTCAATACAAGCATTTTTTCACAAATATTTTTGAACTGTGGTTGGTTGAATCCATAGATGTGGAACCTGTGGATATAGAGAGCACCTCAAAATGTTTGAGGCACAGTCAAAACTCCAAGTCCTCCCATCCATCTGCTGGAGTGGTGAGTCAGGCCTCTCTTTGGAAGAGGTGACAGGCAAGCTCACCTTGTCAGTTTTGCCTGTCAGGAGGGACCCTTCTAGAAGTCTAGCGATGACAAAGCACCCACTCTGGGTCATCACAATTGATCAAAGACTATGCAAATAGAACAAATTGAGGGCTGAAACCTGGAAGGAAGGATTCCAGACACAACATGAATTTTTTCGGCCGCTTTCTAACTCATTTTGACAAAACCTCACAATCATGACGACACTGCACCCCAGACCCAGCCTGCCTTTTAAAATCCAGATAAACATCAGGCGCTAACTTCCCAATCAACTGGTATTCTGAAGAACACTGAAATGTTATACCCTATTTTTTGGTTACATAAGGTTCTCCCTGCACTGACTTAATCTGGAAATCAGTTTTGCACTGTACTTCAGGAAATCATTCATTGAGGGCAGTACCAGCCAAAGGCTTCCAGGGTAGAAGAAGTCTAGTAAGACTTTATATCCAGTTAACTAAAATTATGTTGTAAGTTAATGTTTCAAATAGTTGAAAAAGTTATCTCAGACTAATGGTGCAAGAATCCGAGTCATGAAGGCAGTTTCTTTTTTATTGTTGTTTTGTTTCAAACACGAAATCCTCCTGCCTTAGGCTCCCAGTACTTCGATTACATATGTGCACTACTGCACCCGGCCACCGAGGTAATTTTAATTCTTAGCTTAGTACATGGTAATAACTGTCTGATTTCCTCAGATACTGCCTCTGAATTATGATATTTTCTAACTATATCAATTTTCCTCTGAAGGTACTTTAATATTCTGTGAAAAATAAATTATGGAAAAAATTTTTTTTGATGATAGGGATCAAACCCAGGCTCTTGTGCATGCTAGATAAATCCTCTACCTCTAAGACACATCCCCAGCCCTTCTTTGTGTTTTTGAGACAGGTCTCACTTTGTAGCCCAGACTGGCCTTGAACTCATGATTCTTCTACCTAAGTCTCTTGTGTGCTAGGATTACAGGAGGGCCCCACCACACTCAGCTAAATGAACTAAAGTGAATCAAGTTAAATCTGGAGATTCAAGGGTTTCTGAACAAGTCAAATAGAAAGAACCCCTAACCCATAAAAAGTGCAGAAGGTATAAAGAGGGTAGTGTGGAAACTGACTTTTTCCCTTATCTAACTTTTCCCTTGTTTTTTAGGGAGTCCAGCGCAGGGAAAGGAAGGCCTCCCTCTGTCCCATGATGTTCTACAGGTGTATTTCCTGGCTCAGCCCTTCCCTCTGGCAGTCGTGTCTCACAGATTAGAATAGTCATTGACTGCTCCCTAAACCACATGCAAACCTGTGTTCAGAACTGCAACTTTCCTTGCTGCTTGTGGGTTGGTGATAAGCCAGCACAACACAAGGTGTATCTTTTGTTTTGGTTCAGTTCCTCAGACGCTGTCACCAAAGATGGTATTTCTTTTAACATGTTCTTGAGGAATGACTGACACATGAGAACTGTCTTAGGTGTTTAATGGGCAAATCTGGATACTCTGGGGGTAAGTGTACATTTGTGACACCATCACAAAATCACAAAGATGGAATATTTAAGACATGTGTGGAATGCTTTCTCAGGAATTACCTCATTAGTGTTTCACAACTCTTTGAGGTAAAGAGAGTTGCAATTACCCATTCATCCCTGAAATGCAGACTTTCATTCAAATGTTGCTAATTAGTGAAGTTGAAAATTTTTCCATGTATACAGCAGCTATTAATATTTCTTCTATTGTGATTTGTTACTAGTCCCCTTTCCACAGAGGTCATGTGATACTCAGGTCACCACAGGATGCCACCTTTGTGATCACTCCTTTCTTGTGCTGTTTAGCTCAGAAGGATGGTGGAGCACTGCTTAGGGTACCGACTACCAAGATTTTTCTGATCACTGTGCACAACCAAGCCTGGAGCCAACATCATTTTTATGACAAATAGCTAGAATAATCAAATAGCTTACCATACCTTCAATAGCTACGGTCATTAATGAAAAAGTACCAGAAATAAATAAATCAGCAAAGCCACTTCCATTTACTACCTCAGTGTCCTGATATTTATGCTGTTCTGAAAGCAATGAGCCATGCTAATGGTGCAAAGTGACCAAGAACATTTGACAGTCACAAGAACTCACTAGAAGGCTCAGGGAGGATTCATTATTCATTGCTTCAGATTCTATAGGCTTTATCTCCAAATGAAATAAAACCTAGATAGCTGACTTGGCCACCTTCCCTATCCACTTCCCCATTCACAGGCAGAATATCTTTGCATTTGTAAGGATGAAGAGTTTGTAAGAACACCTTCCAGAGGCTGGGTGTGATAGCTCAAGTCTGCAGTCTTAGCATTCAGAAGGCTGAGGGAGAAGGATCATGGGATTGAGGGGCTACAATAATGAGACCCTGCTTCACAAAAAACAAACAAAAAGCCTCCCAAAACATAACCCTCCCAGTAGACCCAAAAAAACCAGGTGCTGTTTTCCTACCACCTTTTTAAAAAACACCACTAGCAAATTTCTTTCGGTTTGGGCTGAAGAGAAAATGATCTCACTTGTCTTTATTAAGCATGGGAAATTATATAATAACTTATAATGCATAACTTACAATTGCCCCCTCCTTGTCTTGGCTACTAGGAAGCTCATAAATTCTAGGACTTTTCCTTTTTTTCATACTTCGGTTTTGCTTCTTACTAAGTATCAACAGACTTAGGTCTTACTGTACAATGTGACTTAATAGGATGCTTTAAAACCTTTTTTATAGTAATTGAGGTTTATTTATTTGCTATCATCAAAGCAAAACTCGCTGAGGGAACAAAGCATTATGTGGATCATTCTGCCCCTGAGACTGCAAGTGGATTAAAATAAAGGGCAATTACTCATCTTGACTTTGCAAAACTCCTATGCAATTCTAATTCTATCAAGGGGATAACGCGTAAATCTCCCTAAGATAGAAAAGAAAAGCTTTTGAGACAGTTTCCAAATCAACTAATTAAAAGGAACAAGAAAATCAGAAGTTAAAGGAAACAGAAAATTTCAAAGCCAATTTGTTTGCTGTTTTCCATTCTGGGGCAGACAGGAGAGGAAGCTGAAGAAGAGGGAAGGAATACATTTGTCAAACTTTGGACAAATCCAGCAAAAACTGATTCCTGGAATCTGTAGTAAAGAAGATGTCCAAAGCAACTCAGTTCATATTGAAAGTGGCTTCCCACCCTTGTACTACAGAGGTGCCGTGTTCATGCCCAACTGTGCAGGACGTGACCGAGCGTCTCTGACATTAAGCTTGGTCAGTACTCACATTAAGCTTGGTCGGTGCCACTGTGTGGTCCGGTTGTTGTGGTTGACGTAGTAGGTGCGCCCTAAATTGTCCACCTTCTCCTCCCACCCTGGGGGCAGAGGAGGAGGAGGAAGCTCTTCCTGGTGCTGAGAAGCTGAGTCGTTTGAGTCAACAACTTCCCACCCATGCTGTGGAATGAAATCAAACAGAAGATTGTGAGATCAAACTGGTCTTCACACTACAGGCAAAAGACAATTACACTGTGCTCTGCATGGGCCTTCACGGGCTTCCTGTGGTCACCTTTGAATATTCCACCCCCCCACTCACGGACAAAAATTTCATTCAAGGTTTCAACACTCTTTTGAACAGTGGTCAATAATAAGTTGTTCTACCTTCTAAGGTGACTGTGTTGCAGGGAGCCATACAGGTTTGGATATGCAGTCTATTTAATTCCTTGAGTCAACTGTATTCTTTTCACGTTTCAGTTGTTCTCCAGGGCTGTACAAAGCCAATGACACAGGCCACATCACAGCTGCCACAGCTGTCACCCTCTCAACAGCCCCACAATGTAAAGAAGTGCCATATGCACATATGTTCTAACAAAGCACGGTGTGGGTGATGGGGGGAGCAGAGGCACATGGCTCTGCTGGTCCCCAGGGGTGATGGCCCTTAGGCTGCTATGATAGGAGGCAAAGCCTCCACCAGGCATCTGCTACAATCTAGGAGCCAGAAGCAGCCTGGAGGCTGCTACCACGAGGCTGCACAAACAGGCTTCATAGTCCCAAGATCAGGGGTGTGTGCATTTACAATGCATAGTTCAGGCATTAAGTACTGCTTTCCTAACATCCCCAGGAAAAGTCACTGGAAAATCAAGTGATTCACTGGTCACTGCAGTTGGAAGGCAGAAGAGTGTAAAAAATTCCTTGGATTTGACATAAAAATCTGCTGCTGTGCTTATGAAATCTTAACCTCCACTCAGCCTACCACCCACTTCAGCCTGTCACGTGTCCAGATTGTTGGAAGCCCATGGTGAAACACTGCCTGTAAATGTGGCCTTGGTCAGAGGGGTGTTGGTCAGCTTGTCCACAACACATCACTCACGTGCCATGTACAAGCAACAGCTGCAAACAGATGTGCAAACAGTCACAGAGAGAAGGCCATATTCAATGGGGACTTTTGGAACAATGTGAGAAGCTGGCTAATGAAACAGCATCATGCTGAGAAGGTACACCAGGGGACCTGTGGTTCAGGTATGTGACCAGAGACAAAAGAAGCCACTATGCAGGAGGACTAAAAGGAAATTCCCCTGGACAGCTAATTCTAAAACGAATCTCCAGGGGAGTGCTCTCCTAATACCTGCTGTCACCTGTGGGCCATATGCATCAGACCTGGGGAGAGATTTTTTTAAATCACCTTATCCACTCCAAAGCAATTTCAAGTGCTAAGAGGAATTCACAGAGACTTGAAAGTCCAAAGCAATGACAGCCTAACATATGGGAGGGGAATTTTGCTGTCATTAGAAGATACCATTTCAGTGAATATAAAAAAAAGCAAGCTCTCCAATTATAAGTGTCACGACACAAAATGAGAAGTTCACTTGAGTTACCAAAACAAATGTATTTTGGTGGCCTACCGAAGACAGATTCAGGGAATGTGTAAGCATTTTCATCTTTAACTTTATAATTAAAGAAGCAAAGACTTCTTCGATGGCAGTCTCCCTGTGGAATATGAGTGGGATCTGAGCCAGGACATAGGCTAAGGCCTGCAGTTTTACCTCCGTGTCATCCCTCTGCTCACTGTTTTCTTCATCTTGACCTCCGTTTTTCGGCATGTAGGCCATTTTCAACCGCAAAAATCCCTTTACTCGAGATTTATGGCTGCATAAAGGAAGGAAATTGGTTATAAACGACGTGACTTGCTTACATCCTTCCTGTTTATGGTGACTACAGCACTTGGCCTCAGAGAACAAGTGCCTGAAGGAAGCATTAAGCACAGGCATCCTCACACAGCTGCCCTTAAATCTCACCTTCTAGGTCGGAGGAGAAAGTCCTTAAATGTATAGGGTCGCTCCATGGTTGGATCTTCTGTCTATGGGAAGAAAAAGGAAATTAGCAAAAACCCCAAACCTAAGAAAAGCAATACTCCTGACCATTTATTTAACACACCCGACAGGATCACGGGACACATTTAGAGGATGCATTTTTGAATGTTAAAAAACATGGCACAGATGGAAAGGTGCTGGTTCCTTAACTGATACCAGATTGACTCAACACCGACCTCAGAGCTCTGTGTCCTTCAGATCCACTAGATGTCACTATCCACACCAGGTTCTAGGCACTAACCCCAGCGAGACACAAATAACAAAATTATAGCCATCACCGCCAAGTGTAATTTCTAACTGCAGGGTACAGCCTCGACCTTCCTGAGCTGATTAGCTTTGGATGACCAGTGGGGCCTGGTGTCTTTTATCCCTGTGACTCAAGAAACCTAAACATGGAGTTACCAGAATACACAAGACCTAATTTTTGAAGGCAGCTCCACTTCTCACAATAACATATCAAGTCGTGAGCCTAGAAGAACTGACGGGTTCTCGCCTGCACTGAGTCCAGGCAGCACCATCACTGGCTTCTACTGGGCTTCTTTCATGACGCTGAGAATGCAATTGGGATTCTGTTCATTTCAAATGAGACAGGTGCAAAGCTTGCTAGTCTCAAAGCCAGAAACTGGAAAAATAAATGCTACTATTATTTTTCCAATACTGCATGTGATAAGCCTCCCTATACCTAGGCCCTTCAATTAAATGTAATTTAAAATATGTACTCTGTTAGTATGAGGGAAAAGTCACGGAACAATCATTTGTTATTCTCAGGGTAGGTGTCTGTGTACGTGCTTATATTTGAAACACTATCTGTTTATGCCTTTCTTGCTTTAAACTCTCAAAGAATTCCATCTCCTCTTAGAATAAAATGAAAATTCCTTCTATGACCTCTAAGGCATGTGATCTGGCTTTAATGACCTTTATTGTCAGTATGACCCAAACTCTCTGACCACTCCTCATATGCCAATCATCCTGGACTTACCTGCTCTGTGTGCAAATCATATCTAATCCTGCCGTAGGGCCCAGGCACTGGCAGGTCCCATCTGCATCTAGTCATCTCTCCCTCAGAGTTCTCATCTTAAACTGTCGCCAGCAACCCCCTTTGACCACCCTTTATCACTGATTAATCTTCCACTCCTGTCTGAAATTATTTCACTTGCTTCTTTACTTATTAGTTTATCAACATCATTTCTAGGATGTAAGCCCATGAGATCAGAGACCTAAATTTGTCTCCTGTGGTATCACCAGTGTCAAGAATGCCTGGCAGTAAGTAGGCACATGTGTAAGTAAGTAGCTGATAAATTCACCTGATCTGCAGAAACTACCGAGGCCCTGAAAATTTACTATCATTGCAGAAAGACAGTTATATTCTCTAAATTACTCTAAGGCAGTAAGCCAAACTTAGACACTTTGGGAGTATTTGCTCTAAAGAAGTTTCCAAACTTACATTATTTATAATGGAAAATTTAGCAATCAAGAATACCTGTGTTGGTATTCCTTTCTTTTTTTTTTCATTTATTCAACCAACAGATACTTTTACAGCAATGGCATATGAAAGACTGAACGCCACATGGTATCTGCTCTGGGTTCCTGTTAACATGAGGGACCATCACATCAACAGTTCACTAGAATCTAAGGCAGAACCAATTCAATGACGTAGAAGGTTACATTTTGTAAGAACTGGGTGGAGGGAAAGGACAGATTCTGACTTGAAGATCAAAAGGGCTTGGGGTGAGTGGTTCAATCTGAGACCAATGGAAAGGCGTTGATAGGTAGAGAGGTGGAAGGAAAGACAACACGGTGTAAGCCGAGCCTACAGAACCATCAGCGGGCCTTGGTGAGGATTCTAGGAGGTGTAGAGTGCCGGAGAGAATGAAAAGACTTCAGGGGGCGCTCTGGGAGTGAGTCTACCCCACACTATGCAATTTAAATGACCAATGCCTCACACGTTAGGAGGCAGACCCTGAGGTCTGTGCCCTGGCTTTGTTACAGAGCAGTGTGGGCCAGGTCAAGGTCTTTACCTCTCTAGGCCCCAGTGTCCTCATCTATAAGATGAGGCAGTAACAGGATCTTACAGGGTAGTTATGAGGGTTAAACCATCAGTTGAGAGGACTTACATACTGTCCTCCCAGGGTACCTGGCACTCTTAAAGAGCTTGGGCGTTATCACCATCAGTTGGTCCAATATCTCCACAGCACACGCCTATTGTCCACACAATGCCATGCAACAAAAGGCAAGGCTTAAAGATGAAAATTCCCCTTCATGAAAATCCTCTATGCTAGAGAGATGATGGTCTTTTAGACAACTACAAGTTTCTTCTTGGCACGTGTCCAGATTCCAACACGACCATGTTCCCTGCGGCAAAGCTAAATGGAGATTCCCAGGATGGCGCTGGAGAGCTCTGGTGGGAAGTCATGGCGAGGGATCGGTTAAACCCCAGACAATGTTTTGGTTAGGTAGAACTTAAAGAGAGTAGATGCTTTAGTATAAGTGTGGTCTCTACGACGTGTAGTGAGATAAATAACTTTGCAGACGGATAGAAGGAGGGGGCCTTGCTAGGTCCTTTGACTCAAAACCTGGCTGCAGCCACCAGAAGCTCCCAAGCTTCAGGCTACTCCTGCCTCTCCTCACAGCCATTCTGGGGACCGGGGACAGGTTCAGCACTAACATTATCCATCAATTGCTGGGCAAGTCACTTCCCTCTCTGGGCCAGCCCACATCTTCTCCCCTGGCAAACACCTCCAGGAATGGATATATGCCTCTAGAGTGCCGGTAAACTCCATGACAGTGAAGTCTGAATGCATGAGAAAGAACCACTGTCCCCTCACCACCACAAATACAAGAGTGAAAGAATGCTGATCACTCCAGTTATCTGCAGGCTCATCAAACAAGCTTACCACCCTGGAAATGTTCCACTCTAGGGAAACTCAAATTCAAAGGTTAGCCATCGCTGCCCTATGGAGCCTTGACTGAGCTGGTGATGCTAGCATTCTTCAGCCAGCCCAGTGTACTGCCCAGGGATGCAGCCATTCTGTGCTGGGGAGAAGGTGGGAGTGCTGGAGGCTCTATAGGCAGGGGAGACACAGGAACCAAGGGATAGGCTAGAAAAAGTTCAGAAGTACAACAGGCAAACTCCTGCCAGAATTCCAGTCTGTTGTTGGTGCAAGTCTTGGGGTTATTTTTATCCCCAGTTGGAAGGTACATGTTATCAAATACTGTATGAACTTTTAAGCAATGATGCACTGAACATAGCAAACAAATGTGAATGTGCAGCTATGGCCGAGGTTGCTCCTGGTGCCCCACTGGAGAAGGAAGCAGGAGCTGTGCTGAATCAGCTGCACAGGTGGTAGGGCCTTCCTTAGTTGCAGCCTCCCATGCCCTCTGCAGGTCTGAGTTCTGCTGCCAGCGTCTCCTAGGTAACGTGTATATCACTGTGGCCCTGCAGCCTCTGCTCAGGAACACTGGCGGAGCTCCAACGCTCTATCACAGAGCTGGATGGAATCTGAATTCATCTAGGCAAGCACCCCAGTTTTACAGGAAACGAGGCCCAGGAAGGAACACTAACTTGGTCAGTGTTACCAAGCCACTCCCTCATTTCCCAGATACAAGTCAACAATACCTGATAGATTCCCATCTTTTAAAGCCTGACCTTTAGAGACTTCTTAGGGCATGGCTTTCTGTTTCCTTAATTCTGTGGCCTGCATAATGGATCAACCTATTAACCTATTTGCTTTCCCTTAGCCCCTTCTTCTTTTCCTCACTCCCCTCAAAAGAAATAAAATGGAAAAGAAATATTAAAGACGAGCTGGAACACAAGCAAAGGAAACAGAAGTCCCTACTATTCTCCACAACTTAAATCCTATTTCATATGCATTTTTCCCACAAACAAAACTGGGAAGGTGGAGACTCATGGCTAAGAGCACAAGTGAATCATAATTCTAAGATTGTTTTCTCTCATCTGGAAGCATCTGGTAAGTATGAAGCACTGAGGAATCCATGATCAAGGAGGAAAGGATGTTGGGTTTCTTTCTCCCCCATTTCTAGCTCAAAGGACAAGGACAGACCTGCCTATTGCCTCCTTTGGCCACTGCAGGCCACAACTGAGGTGATGACTTTCTACCATGAGGAGGGTCCTCTCCACCAACCTCCCTGCCTGCCCCTTGATTTCCAGCTGCCTCCGCCTTGTCTCCCTGGCAGGGTGCCAATTTGCACTTGCATATGACAGACCACAAGGCCCAGCACAGCACTTAATTAATCCAGGTGCCCAGCTGTTAGCAGTGGGCTGAAGAGACTACCCTGGGAGGGGTGGGCATCTGAGCTGACCCTCTAGTCTGCCTGGGAGGCTTCTCTAAGTCAGGGAATTCATTGCTACAAAGGGGGACAGTTAAGGGAGCCCAGACTAAGCATATGAAAGCACAATTTTATATTGCAAACATCAATATCCATATTAACAGGCCTCTAAAATTCCCACAAACTGATTTGTTTGTTCTTCAACAAACATCAGTCATGAGATCTATGGCATTTCTTTTTCAAAATCATAGCCACAAAATATAATGTTTAAATTATTGAAACTAATTTCCCAACAATCGTGAGATTACACTAAATTTCCTTTTGCTGTTGATGTTCCTGATTGTCACTACGTGTTGGAACACTTGTAGACCAGAAAGAAGCAAGGCAGACACAGTGGCTTTTATTTTATTTTATTTAAAGAATAAAGGTTTGTATTACCTTAAGCAAACAAACTAATGCCTCATGCCTAGTCTGAAATAATTTAAAATAAGTAAGTGAATATAATATATGTCAGCATGAAGGAATAGGCAATGAATTATTTTGCTAATACACATTTGAAAAAATAGTAACAAAATTAATTCTCTTCATTTCTAGAATTCAAATTTCAGAGCCTTATCTCATCTAAGTTAAATTCTTCATTTGCAGAATTAGAGAGAAACAGCCTCCAGGAAGAGAAAAGGAATGAAAAGTCACCAAGGAACCTTGGGAGGTTTGGGAATTGTCACACCCACAATTCCCCCAAGTAGCTAGACATACGGTTTGAAGAAAAGGAAATCTAGAGCCACGCATTTCTGACCTAAGTCAGGGAACCCTATTTTTTTTCATGCGCCATCCTATGTTATAGCCACTTGCCCCATGTTAGTTTTCCTAGTTTAAATGAAGTAGGAGTGTGAACTCAAGCTGTTCCACCACACTAGCCACTTTTCAAATGCTCAACTGCCACATGGGGCTCCAGTAATGGTGGCACCCAAGCTACACGAGGGAGAGCTTGCCTCCATGACACATTCATAAAGATCAGAATCTGCCTCTCAATAAGTATTTGTTGAAAGAATAAATTCTATAGCCAATCATGAGGCCATATTAAATAAATTAATAACTGCATACTTAATGAGTCTTCAACCCCTGAAAAGGAGGGTGAAGAGGGTGCCTAGCCATCTATGCTACCAGAATCTGCTCTTCACAGACCTTGTTATGAATGAGACAGCCAGGGTATTTTTTTTCATGTTTCTATTTTCTTTTATCTAAAATTTGCTGATTTGGACAAATATTGGATCTAGAGGCCACTTACAATCTGCCATGACAATGTTATGTAGCTGTCGAGAAAAGACCGTCTCTATTCAGTCCATACTTATACTTGTGCTTTATCACACAAAATTAACAACACTGCACAAGCTCCCCACAAGTGTCCCCATAAATGTCAAGTATGCATGACAGCACCTCAAATCCTGGGCTCAAAGGCCATGTCCATTCAGAATCTGCTTTGTGGGTTCCACTACCACATGGAAGGCAAAGAATGTGTTTTCACTCCCTCTTCTTTGGTTTCCATTGTGGTCCATCTCTGTGAAAGTAGCTGGCTTTAAAAGCCAGTCAATTTGAAGGGCTTACGGTTCCTCTGTGCGGGCTTCTCTTTGGGCACGTGCATAATGAGGAGCCTCCAGCACTCCATGGTCGGCTCATGTTGGAGGACTCTGCTCTCTCCAAGTGCTCATTGTCCCACCATCTTCAATCTGCCAGTTCCTTTCTAACTTTTATTATTCTAATAGTGTATGTTAATTATATAGAAGAATGCATTTCATTGTGACATTTTCACACTTGGATACAACCTACTTTGGTCATATCCACCTCCCCATTAACTTGTCTTTAATCTAGCACTGAGATTTAATGTCACTTCCTTCTTTGAGAGCTCACTCTTGCCTCCATCCAAAATCCAAAGCCTAACTATTCCTTCCACTGAGTTGATCTCTAAAGAACATTTTTGTATTCTCTGAAGCCACATTCAACCTTTCTAACCCAGTCACCACTAAATCACCCAAACAAGGGCTCACTGGAGCAAGTTGCTGACAATCTCATTTGTGCCTCTCAGAGACTATTAGTAAAGAATTTCTCTTGACCAACATGTGGCTTTTACTATAAAGAAAACGGTAGTTAGTGACACCCACAAAAGAAATGGCCAACCAACCAACATTGTCTGAATGCACGATTTTATAGCTTCAATTTGACCAGCAGGAACGGAGGACCTACTGATGCAGAAATATGTGAAGAGTCTTTCCTTGAAATGTTGAGACATTCACATACTCTCAACGTGACCTGAACAGAGTCATCGGGTTTCTGTCAGTTTATAGGATTGGTCTGATGTAGAAACACTACACAGGCACACACCCTTTCTCAAGGCACCATAAGCCTTGAGGTTTTTACACAGAGACAAACAAAAATATTTCAATGCTATCACTTCTGCTTCCAATCCCTTGGAAGGAAATGCACTTGAAGCCTTTCTTCCTTAATAGCTCCCCTGAGTGAGCAGGAGTAAATTGCTTACCATCACATTCCTTCACAACACATCTTCAAAGCTTCCCTGGTAAGACACAGTCTTTCTTGGCATCTAACATAAGGGAACAGCCAGGGTTTCTACACAGCAAGAGACATGTGCTAGGTGCTTTAAGTCATTTTAGTTTATAGACTATTTATGCTATGTGCTCATACAAAGCATTTAAAAACACAATGCCCTTGTAAGGCAGAAATATTTGGCTCTCCTTTCCTAGCTGCTACTTACGTTGCTTTGTGCTGTCCAGGGGAGGAGGGCCAGGAGGAGGGGTGCAACAATTTGGAAAACTGAAGCGGAGATATGGGATGCCCTACATCCACCAAACCTCCAGGCCTGTCCCCACATCCTGTCTGTACAGCCTCAGGATGTGGGTGACAGGCCACAGGCTCCATTGCTTCACCCATCTGAGCAAGGAGAAAGGCAACAGTGCAGTGCCGCACATGCCAAGGGAGCATGTTTTCTGAAGCTAGAGCAGTGTTTACTCAGAATCAATAGTGTCTTCTCTTCTGTCTCCATGATGATGGAGAGAGTCATAAACCCAAACCTGGGATACAGTGGCCTGTACAGAGGTACCCGAGAGAAACACCGTGTGTACTTCTAGCAACAGGAAGCAACCATCAGGACAGACTGAAGGACAGATTTGGGCAGAAAGGCACCAAGTACAATAGGAAGGGCTGGATGGAAGACTATTCTTGGCGTGATAACCTAAGGTGGAAAGGAGATGGGTCTGGGGACGCTGACAGGAACCTTACACAATTTGCACACATGGTGCTCACATTTAAGTTAGTCTCTCTGACCCTCTGAAAGGACCACTTTCTAACAAGGAGTGAGAGCTGGACCACACACACTTCATTTTGGCCTCTCTATCTTACCGACAAAACACCATTCTCAATCAAGACAGACCAGCTGGCAACAATTAAAAAAAGCGCAGTCCATGGCATATACCACAGAACATGTAACTGTCCTTACCGGAAGGTGACTAAGAGGCACGTCCACCTGACCCAGGAAGTCGTCTCGTGTCTGTGAAGAAGAGAACTGAGGGTTAATGTCACCATCCATTCACCCAGGGTCAGTACTTCTTAAAAACTGTTTCACTGCAGAAGGAGACAAGAGGGCCAGGGCCTGCCACTGGAGGCAGTGGGGAGGGCTGAAGGCAGAGGGCCATGATGAGGCTCTGAGAGCCCTTACCAGACCTGGGAGCTGAAACGCTCTGGTCTTTAACTGCTTGACACTGGTTAATGCCAATGTCCAAATAGAATGGTAAAGAATTGTCTCTCAGAGCTGTGAGTCTGTGGTCAGTCAGGGGGACACACATAAAGGCCACTGAGGCTTTGGACAGACTGGGCACAGTTCTATAAAAAGAAGACAGTACACACATTTTGGGGACACGATAACAAGTATTTATCATATGCTATAAACCCAAGAGCTTCCAGAGAGCTGGGAGTCTAAGGAAATAGATAAGGCTTAGTTATTAACTAATCTTATAAAATGCACATCATGAAAAACAAAAGCCCTTTCAATTCAGTAAGCGCACTGTTTACTTTTGGGGATTAGGTCCATATATTTGGCCATGTGTGTCCCTTGCTGTCTCTATTATCATACAGTGTGCTTCTTCCTAACTTAAATGGAATTCATTAGGAGACACTCACCAGTCCTCTCTTAGACCACGGGAGTGAGAACTCAAGTTCCAGGTTCTCTGGACTGCACCACAGGTGCCACACTGTGCCCTGCAGTTTCAGTGCTTGTGGCCTGACCTCTACTGCTCAAATGATTCAAGGCACAAATCAGAAGACAATGACTTCTGCCACCCTCATGTTGAAATATGCAGCTGTTTCCACCATAAGAGTACAAGAAATGCACACAAACTGGAAAGTTCTTTACATGTAGTCAAATCTGTCCCACAGCTAGTTGAGGAAAAGCCAAAAGAGCATCCCAAGCTTCTTTTCTGAATCCTGGGCTCTTGTTTTTGCTTGGCTGGTTTACTGAGAAATAGTCTAATTTATAGAAACTACTTTCCAAAAGTACTTGGAAAAAACCTCTTCTATTCAGCAGCAGGTAAATATGAACAAGATTTATGGAAATGATTTGCTCTGGGTTTAGGAATTTCCTTTTAGATAGTTTAAAAATTTCATTAACTAGAAAGCCATCTCTCTCCTCTGAATGATGCATGAAGGCTAATGAAAAATCAAAGTTAGCACTGGTTGGTATGCATGAAAAATGAGACTTGTCCTAATCCTTCTGATGAGATTTCAGTTCTTGTTATTCTCTCAGTTCGATCTGCTACAACCCCACCCAGAAACACATCACCCAGCATAAGTCTGCGAGGGAGATGCCAATAAGCTCTGTGTGTTTTACCAAGAGCACCAGTCAGCAGAAAGCCTGGAAAATAACCACAGCTTTGCTGCCCAGCTCGCAGATCCATCCCCCCACCCCCACAGTGACTCACACCTATGAGAGACACACAAGGAGTTGGGGAGCGTGCTTGTTCATCCTCTATTTGGCTGAGCCTGTTAAAATAAAGTTGGTGTAAATGTCAGCTAACTACACCATCAAAAAGAAATGGAAGTTTATTGAATATTGGCCATAAATAATGTGTACAGCTCCATTTCCTCCCCCTGCTCCTCCCCTGATGTGTGAAGAACTAGGACACAGGATGTGATCATCAGGAGACAGTATTTAAAACACTGTTTCACAGCCTGCTATGGAAAAGGCTACTTATGAATCATGAACCCAAGTACATTTTAGCAAAAATTCACAAAATGTCCATGTGCTCCTGCTGTTTCTCTAGGGAGACATTAGAGTTCTAAACTGATCAAGTGAGTTTGACTCTGTCCAGATGCCCAAAGCCAGACGCCCAGTGCTAAGGTCTACAGCAGCAAATCTTTCCACAGTGCTCACTGCAGGCAGGCTCTGTGCCCAGGCAGCAACTTGAGGAGGCAGGCGCACTCACTGTGCCCACTGTAGAAGGGAAATCCCAGGCTCCTACCTGGGCAGGCTTGGTTCCCAAGCTCATTCATAACCCATATGCTATTGCATCTGTGAGTGGCAGGAAAGCAAGGCCTGCTCCAGCTCAGGGTACTCCTGGGGTGCTCGCTATCCAGTGTGGGGGGACCAGAGGAATTCTAATTACAGCCCAGACTGAGGCAACTTTAGGGGGTTCTGTCAAATTGCTCACTAGGCATGTCACCTCTTATACTGCACTTTCCACCTGCTCTTGCCTCAAATAAAAGTTGATTGAATTTCCCAAGGCACTATGAAGGTGAGAAACCCGCTCCTACCTTTCTAGATTCCTTACTACATTGAAACAATAATTTCTAAAACAACCAAAGACAAAGGAACCTCACCATTAAAGGAAACTGAAGGCTCTTACAGATTTACATCAAGGGAGATGAAAAGGAATTAAGTCCAGGACGGCATGTGGTCAAAAATGAATGGCCTTTAAGACAGCATCCTACCAGTCAATGAAAAGATGTGTCTGGATGACAGATCTAGGGCTCAAAATACCCCATTGTTATCAAAACCAGAGAAAGATCGAGAAGGAAAATATTTTTCTTCCCCCATTACAGGATTGAATTTCAGGCCTCAGTCATCCTAGTCAAGTTCTCTACCACTGGCCTACATTTCCAACCCCTATATGAGGTTTTCAAAATGCACTCAGCACTGCAAAAGAGATGCAGGGGGTGTGAGCAAGTCTGTTGGAGGCCTATATTTCAGAGGGGGAGCAGGTCTGTGGAAGGAAATCCAATTGTCACAACTTGTAACTGTGTGACAGTTACAGGTCAGGGATATAGGATGTGTGCAGAATCCCACCTGAGCCCTAGAGACACAGTGTCTGAGGCCACCACAAACATCATTAGGTCATTCCTACCACAGTGTGACATTTTATACCAATGGTATAAAAACACATTAATCAAATCAACTTTTAATAATTTGCATTACAAGACTATTTACATCAAACATCATGTTAATTACAAGAAGCTGCAAAAACCAAATTAACTTCAACTCAAGGTGAATACTGGCATTTCTGTGGTTATTTTTAAGTGGTAAAATAGTATGCTTTTCTTAGTGTGTCTAGCTCTTACTAGACACACTAGTAAGAGCTGCTGGTACCCGAGTGGATGCCAGGCTTCTCTGTCCTCAAAATACAAGACTCAGTTACTCAGAGAACACATTCACTCAAAGGGCTGTACAGACTCTTCTTGGGTTAAGGCTGCACTTGAGGATGGAACTGAAAACTCATAGGCCCCTATAACCCTACCCACATTCCCCAGCTTCCTCTGTTGACATCAGGGAGGAAAGTGACCAGGCCAGGAAGTATGCCTAAGGATCACAATGTACGACAGTGGTTTTAACCCTATAGTTGTTTACAATAAACAAGCAATTCCCCCCCCCCCCCCCCCCCCCGTGCTGGGGATGGGGAACCCAAGGCCTTGTGTGTGCTAGGCAAGTGCTCTACCACTAAGCTACATCCCCAGTCTCCAACTTTTAAAAAATTAAGTAGAATAGAAAATATTGGTGCCTCAAAGAAATACAAGTAAGTAGTTCTGAGAAACTTTTTCAATTGCCTCCATAAATAAACATATATACTAAGTGGTTATTAAGATGCATTTTTTTGTGTGTGATACCATCAAAAAATGTGAATGTCACTCAACTACAGAAAATGCAAAGCAGCCAGGACTACCTGTTGTCTGAAGTTTTCTCCTGAAAATCTCTAGGTAGTAATTCCCAAAATCTCAGAATTTCTTAGGACACACACAAGTATCCAGAATTTATAAGATCAGCTAGAGAATAGAATTTAAGAATATAGCGTATGGGTCCACCTCTGTATGCTACACATTAAGGTGAGCACCACACCTGCTTCTAAAAGGTAAGTCAGAAAAAGGACCTCCGCCTTCCCACTCACTCCATAGCACAACCTCTGCATGCTGCCATTTGCCATGCACGTGGTTCCCCAGCACCACAACAATGAGACAGGGATCATTTTATTTTTGGAGCAACTTCAGAAGCTTGCATTCAGAATTACCTTTTCAGCTTGAGTAACTTTCACAGAAGCCTTTTAGACCAAATGTTCCAAACACAGTGACACTCCCAGCTTAGTGCCTGGGAGAGTCACTTGAATGTCTGGATGAATTCTTTCTTCAGACCCCATCTCATTCCTCACTAGAGCATGGCACCAGCTTTGTCAGCATAGGCTTGACAACAGAATAGGATGCTTGTTTCTCCTTCCACTTGTCAGGCACATTGGCCTCCATCATGCAGACAGGAGAGCAGCTGTTGCTCAAGACACCGAGAGGAGGGTGGCCTCCACCACTCTGCATTGTGTGAGCCCCTTGCCCACGTCCTACTGCAGGAGCCCTGCTCCACCTCCCCCCACAGCATGAGCCCCCATTTTCCACATGGGCTCTGGCTTCAAGGCAAATTGGTTTGAAATATATCATCAAAGTTACCTTAATCAAACAACAGTTGTATGATATCTACTGAAGAATTCCATGATGAGATGTCCTCTGAATGCACGTGCTCTTAACCAATTCACGTCATAAGTACCAGAACACAAAGCCAAACCAATCTCAGGTATCTTATTAAAAAAATTATATGTATGTACACACACACACACACACGAAAATGGTTTTCACATGCTATTTAGTTTCTAGAGGGAAGGGCAGAAATATGCCACTCTCTAAAAGAGACTAGGGTGTGTCCTGGAGACACTGGCCCGATTTATAACAATGAACTAGACTTTCTTGTCAATAAACTCTCAGAACAAACTCACAGGACCTTAAGAGGTCTGAGTAAAACCACGCTGGGCAGGTGGGCAGAACAATGCCATGATGGCTTTATCTGCTGCTAGGAAAACCACCTATGTTGGAGGATGCTTTTCTTAAAATTCAGAAAACACAAAAACAGAAGGTGTAGAGAGGTGGATGGCGCAAGGAGCAGCTGCTGGTACCCACTCCAGTGTCCCCACGGTGCAGGCTGGCTGTGGTCTCAAGCATCACTGGGCTGAGAGAAGACACTCCTTG